TGGTGTGGTTGTGGAGTGTGGCATCAACGTGGGGGTCTCAGATCAATGCAGAATGGCCCGCCCAGAGCTGCCAGTCAATAGCTGGCCACAGGCGAAGGAATGGGTGATGCAGCCCTACTCAGGACAGCTTTCCTCTGTCCTGACCCCATGCTCCCAGCTGTGGCTGACCTGCAGCAGGAGTTTTAAAAGGGCAATGCCTGCTGCTGCTGTGCTCTGAATTAGGTCTTCACTAAACACCAACTCATAAGCGACCCTGGCCTTTTATCTAGCATCAGCAGGCTTGGTCCCACATCTAATGCACAGCAAGGATTAAAAAGAAAATGCAGCAAGCCAGGCTCGGTGGCTCACACCTATCATCCCAGGTCTTTGGGAGGCTGAGGTGGGAGGACTGCTTGAGGCCAGGAGTTTGAGACCAGTTTGGGCAACCCAGCAAGACCTGTCCCCACAAATTTAAAAGAAGAAAAAACTACAACCTCTGTCTTTTTGTTTGATAGACGAATACACTGGAGTGGACACCATATGGTCATCATCCCCTTCAAAGAAGTCACCAAGGAAGGCCCTGTCTTTATTTACTAAGACTTGAAATATTTTCTTGAGACTTTGGGGGGAGGGGGTGGGGAATTCCCTTCTAGTCAGTTCCCAAGTCATGCAAAACAACTAGTCATTATTTTATAGCCCTACTGCATTTTGGTCCAAAAACAGCATAATCAATCTTGGCCACAAGTCATTTGGAACCAAGACTGGCAATGGTTTCCAAAAATCACATCCACTTTCAAAGGCCAAAGATTTATCACCAGTGAGGATATTCAGAAGAAAATGCTAGAGTCTGAATATGAGTTCACAGTGAACACTTTGAAACTGCTCAGAGCAGGATCTTTGGAAGAAGTACACAGACTCCCACTTTGAAGAGGGCATTCTGCATCTGTAGGAAAAAGCCCAGTTCTCAATGCTTCTTAGTCCTTGTTGGGGGTCGGGGAGGGACACACACGCATGCGCACGCACGCACATACACACACACACACAGAGACAAAAACCAACAGGAAGAGATTGACACACACACACACACACACACACACAGAGAGAGAGAGAGATTGAGAAAGACAAATTCTTCATTTAAAAAATCTTGGAGGTAAAATAAAGAGAGGGAAATCAGAAAGGATTTTTTATAGCTTCATACCAAATACATTATGGATTCAATGCTAGGAAAACATTCACCATATCAATATACAGCAAAATTAGCATCTTTAACATGCGTTTACCAAGCAGCCGGGAGAACTGTGAGTCTGGTTGGGCTGGGCCTGTGCTGGCTTGAAAATCGCCCTACAGAGCCTCCCTGACCCCAACATACACGCCATTTCCAGGCATTTCTTAGCTGTCAGAAATCTGTCTTCATGAGATTTCAGTCCTTCCCCTCCCAAGACGCCCTGTCTCACCCTGGCTGTCCCCACAATCTGTACATGGAGGAAGACACAGGAAGGTTTGCCCTTCAACAGGCACAGAAAAGCAAGCTCCAGATTTGCTCAACTCGAATCAAACAGGCTAAACACATCCAGATGTTCAAACGGTTCTGGAAGATGAGGCAGAGCCCCTCCACTCCCACGGCCTCCTCCAACAGCAGCCTTTTCTCCACCCGCTCCGAAGGCCGGGGAAGAAGACCTGCCAAGACAAAATGGCTGTTCTCCGGGATGGGGAGATGACTGTGAATGCTCCCAGGGAATGTGGCATCAGGAGCACACCAGATAGAGCAGACCCACAGCCAGAGAAAGACGCGATGTTTATCCACTCATGAGACATCTGGAAAATGAAAGAGGCTACAAGCCATCTTTATCACATCTCCGTGCATACAAATACCCCGCAGAAAATTACAGATCCCTCTCATCTACCAAATGAGCCATAATAACCCCGCAGGTTTTCCCCGAGTCCTTTAGACACTCCGCCTCGCGCTGTTTATCATGAGGGAGACAAGCGGAGGACCTTGGAAATGTAAAGGAAGATAGCCCAGGCCTTTCAGAGAAAAAGAGCCAGAGCAGGGAAGCTCTGATCGTGGCTAATTGGCCCGTCAGGGTCCTGCCCTGGACAGACCCAGGTGAGGACATTTCTAAAGAAAACATCCCACCTCCGCTTGCCACGGAGATTTCTAAGGCTTGCCCACCGTCCTTTTGTAAATGCCTGCTGGGTAAGTGTGGAGATAAGACGAGTATTACATTATGATGCTCCCTCATGCATGAAAGTCTATTTTAAAGAGAGTCTGGAGGGGCCATCAGGAAGGGAGAGCCTGTGCAGTGGAGGCAGAAGGAAGGCTGCTTTATTTAGAGAAGTCTCAGCCACAGAATAAAACTGGGCTTTACCTGCAAAGGAAAACTCATTAAAGTTTCTCTTTGGTTCCAAAGAAAGGAAGCTACAGCCACAGAATTTCAGAGAAACTGCTTTTATTTCACACACGCTATTCACCTTGTCCCCAACTTACTTACTAACTTGAATATGTATGCAACCCCCAAACCAGGATGCCGCTTGGCCATAGCAAATAACCACTGGCGTAGCTTTAACCTGAAATCTCATTCTCTCTAGGTTTTCACTCTCCTGGCAAAAGAGTACATAGCCTACCAAGTTGTACACATTTCTGCTTAAGCAACTTTGGTGAGGCATTCTTTTTAAAAGCAAGGAATACCTGAATATGTTAGGGCATGAGCATTTTCCTTGTTAATTTTTTCAGTTAAGTCTGGAAGGCCCCATGCTTTTTTTTTTTTTTTTTTTTTTTTGAGATGGAGTCTCACTCTGTTGCCCAGGTTGGAGTGCAATGGTGTGATCTCAGCTCACCACAACCTCCGCCTCTGGGGTTCAAGCGATTCTCCTGCCTCAGGCTCCTGAGTAGCTGGGATTACAGGCATGTGCCAACATGCCTGGCTAATTTTGTATTTTTAGTAGAGACGGGGTTTCCCCATGTTGGTCAGGCTGGTCTCAAACTCCCGACCTCAGGTGATCCACCTGCCCTGGTCTCCCAAAGTACTGAGATTACAGGCGTGAGCCACTGTGCCAGGCAACTCACCCCTTTTTATTAGCTAGGAAAACGTAAGAATATACCTGAACTCCCAACCTTCCATTATGCCTATTCTTCTCCAGGGGTTTCTATGCTCCAGGTGTTCTGCCCCCTTCTCTGTAGCTCTCCCTGGCTCCCTCTTCTTCTCCCACCACATAAACCTCCAGGGCGTCATCCACCCGGCCTGGTCCATGGCCCCCACCCTCTCCATCTGAGCTCTCTCCTCTATGCAAGAAGGTGGTGAGAAAAGCCATCATCTCTCTGTGCTCTCCTGCTAGGCCTGTCCCCAGAGCATCAGCCTCACTTCTCTGCTGTGGGTTTCCCATCACCTGGATATTCTGGGACCTCCAGCCCCGGCACATCCTAACAATGACCTACACACCTTCTCCGACTCCATTTCCACCATTGACCCCCACCTCCTGCACTGAAAGCTTTACACTCTTGCTGGCTCCTCTCTCTTCCAAGCTACCCCATCCTGTTCTATTCCTTCTTCCTTTGATGGGACCCCTGTTCTCCCCTTTCCTTACTTTTTCTTTTTTTACACAGAGTTTCACTCTTGTCACCCAGGCTGGAATACAACGGCACCATCTAGGCTCACTGCAACCTCCACCTCCACCTCCTGGGTTCAAGAAATTCTCCTGCCTCAGCCTCCTGAGTAGCTGGGATTACAGGTGCGTGCCACCAAGCCTGGCTAACTTTTGTATTTTTAGTAAAGACAAGGTTTCATCTTGTTGGCCAGGCTGGTCCTGAACTCCTGACCTCAGGTGATCCACCCACCTCGGCCTCCCAAAGTGCAGGGATTACAGGCATGAGTCACTGCGCCCAGCCGGTTTTTCTATGACTCTCTTTGCTTCAGAACCTTGTCACCCTAAGATGTGACCCAAAAGATGACCTCCTTTCTGGCATCACTGACTGTGACCTGGTTGCTTTTCCTGAACGATCACTGCAAACCTTCCATGTCTCCAACCGTTTACAGGGAAACAGCCAAGCACTCATGGCCCAAGGCAAGCTCCCCTGCCTTCCAGCCTCACGTCTAGGTCCCCTCGGACGCATACCCCTAGTCAAGTCCACTGGTCAGTCATGCCACTGAATTCCCTTCAGCCCCCTTGCTTAGGAGGAACATGCCTTTGTCCATCCACAGAGGGGAAAACTGAAGGAAAAGCATGAGGAGATCCCTGGGGGGCTGTCTTGTGAGGCCATAACAGGAGAGCACACAGCATCAAGAGCTGGCAACAAGGAGGCTGGACAGGAGACCACAGGAAGGGAGGGTGCCCTGCAGGAAGAGGCAGAACCGAGAGGGCATGCCCCTGGCATCGGCCACCTTCACAGCATCATGAAGGAGGAGGATCCAAAGTCTTCGAAATTCGAGAGGTCAGAGCCATGGTCAGGGGAAGAGAAAGTTTCTGTCAAAAACCTCTCTCCTGGCCAGGCATGGAGGTATGGAGGCTCATGCCTATGATCCCAGCACTCTGGGAGGCTGAGGCATGTGGATCATGAGGTAGGAGTTCAAGACCAGCCTGGCCAACATAGTGAAACCCCGTTTCTACTGAAAATACAAAAATTAGCCAGGCAGGGTGGCGTGTGCGCCTATAGTCCCAGCTACCTGGGAGGCTGAGGCGGGAGAATCCCTTGAACCCAGGAGGCGGAGGTTGTGGTGAGCCGAGATTGTGCTACTGCACTCCAGCCTTCTCTACCCCTCACCCTACACCACGGACTCAATGGCTACTCTTTGACTGATTGACAGATGATGGCAGCTCTGGGGACTGAGCAATTGCTCTGGGACTTTAAAGACCTGGACTCTTTTGCTGATGTGTGAAGTGACCTTGGGCTAGTCGACGAATGTATTGTTTCTCTAATCTGTTTTAAAGGAGGGCTTGCAAAACCTCTTATGTGTTAATAAATGTATTATAAATACGTGGCAGAACTGCCTATGAGCAGAGAAGAAAATACAAAACACACACTGTGAACACATCGGTGTTTATTTTCCAGACCTTTTCCTAGGAAAACGTACATGTGTGTAATAACATTTTTAATTTAAAAAATTACATAGAGAAGATACAGTAAGGAACACTTATTAAAGTAATTTGCCAACTCCTTGTGCCCTGATTTACTGAGACGTCATCCTTAAGTATGTAGCACTATTGGGTAGCTGAATATAACAAAACTCCCCGTCAGCTGTCTTTGACTCTTTGGACTTGCATCAGTCTCTAAGCCACCCCTGAACCGTGATTTATACGACAGCTTGGGAAAAGCCAACTGGGGACAATCAATGGAACAGACGGAGATAGGCCCGGTGAATGTGCATGAATTAAAAGGAAAACTCCATTGTAATAGGAACAAGATTCTAATCACTACACCTAATTACAAAGAGGAGTAAATCACTGGAAAAAAAAATAAGTGTCTCACACAGAACAAACAAAGCAATTAGTCATAAACAGAAGCTCAGGGTTTGGTGAGCAAGCCAGAGCCCAGACCCAATCTACCAGCTGCATGTCTGCTCCTAAGACCACTTCGGGGCCATGGATGGTGGGCTGTAAGGTCAGAGCAGAGCCCAGATATGTAACAGTGCCGGGGAAGGGCAGGTGGCCGGCTCCAAAATCATGCACCTCTGCACACACAGCCTTATCAGGACCTCTGATCACAGCAATGGCCCGGCATTAGCTGTAGAAGGCTTAACTCTAGAGCCCAGACCTTCCTCCAGGGCAGAATACTGACTGGTGATTTAACATCTCTAAGAGCCATCTTCTTCATTCTCTCGGTCCCTAACCATCAAACAATAACAATAGCAGCTAATTCTTATTACATGATTACTGTAGATCTGACACTATGCTGGGCATTTCACAAAGTTATCTAGTTCAATTCTCACATTACACCTTCAAAGGAGGCACTATTCTCATCATCTCCATGTATCCACGTGGAAACGGAAATCCAGAGGGCTGAGCAATTTGGCTAAATTCATCCAGCTTATGAGGAGAAGAACCTGGATTTAAACCCAACAGTAGACCCCAGAGCCTGGGCTCTTAAACTCTGCACCATGTAGCCTGTAAGACGAGAAAAGTTAAACCCATATTTTAATGTGTAAAGAACCAGGTGTCAAGTATGAAATGCCCAATGCACATAGACTATTCTACAAATGTTATCATGATTCTTACCCCTTTTCCTCTTGGTTGCCCCAACTCATTCTCTCTCCCCTGGGGTCTCCTTTCTAGAGGACACTTGGAGAGCCCCCAGATTGCTGGTGGGCCTTCTGAACCTTGTACTCTGTACTTGCCTATAGCCCGGAAGTGAAGGATGAGAGGGATCTCTTGCTCTTGAAACCCAGGACCCTCCTAGAAACTGGCTATGCAGCCTGGAGGTGAGCTCTGAGGGCTTCAACTCAGCAACTGTCTCTACTGTAAGTTTCAAAAACTGAAATAGACCTGTAATAAATGGTTGCCCTGCAGGGCTACGCAGTGACTGGAGTTATCTTAAATATCTCATCTGACACAGAAAATCTAAATCTTCCTGAAAAACCCAAGACATGTAATGACTGTGTCTGTAAGGGTAGGCTCTCTTAAAGGGTCTGTAAGTAAGATCTCCAGGAATGGGGGCTGTTCTAGGTCTGTCTCATTGCCAACAGCTGAACTTGGGCTCACCCTGACAATAGTGAGGGGAGATGAATCAGCACACATGCTGTTCATTGGGTCATTCCAAAGAACTTCCCTGAGCACGCCAGAATGTTTTAGGCACTGAGAGATGACTTGGAAAAATCAATCTAACAATATTCTGTGCACAGACCTAGGGGCTGGGGTGGGGGCAGCCTGGAGGCAGGACCACCTTTGAGGACTAAGCTGCCTTTCTGAGAGCTAACAGGGCCTGGCCCAGGGCCGTGGGATGGAGAGTGAGTCAGGTCCTTATTGATGAAGCCTCCTCCCCTCAGTCTCAACTAGATGATAAAACAAGAGCTTCTGGCTGAGCACGTGAGGCGGAAACATACAAAAGCATTTGTTTTGACACATCTGGCAGAGGGGCTCAACTCAACACAGCAAACACTCCTGCAGATGTCCTAAGTCCAGCCATTCCCCTAGACTAAGGCCCTGCAGTGGTCAACTGGGACCCTAGCAGGGAAGTTGAGGGCTCCAGCCCAAGGACCAGAGACTTGGCTTCACACCTTACACTCAGGAACCACACTGCAATCTTGGGTGAGCAATAGAACAAGTTACTCTCTGAACCCCAGGTAACAGAATGTTCTTTATGGGAGAATGTAATGAGGTGAAATGAGATGGTGTGACAGAGCATTTGCACAGATGGAAAAACATAGGAAGTACAGGCTCTTGATGCTGCTATTATTATTATTATTCGTGTTGGTTAGTTTTTATTTTTTAATTGTTTTGAGACAGGGTCTTGCTTTGTCACTCAAGCTGGACTGCAGTGGTGCAATCATAACTGACAGCAGCCTTGATCTCCTGGCCTCAAGTGATCCTCTCACCTCAGCCTCCAAAGTAGCTGGGACTATAGGCACATGCCACCATGGCCCAGCTAATTATTTTGTTTTTTTGATAGAGACAGGGTGGCCTCGAACTCCTAAGCTCAAGCAATTTGTCTGCCTCAGCTTCCCAAAATGCTGGGATAACAGGTGTGAGCCACCACACCCGACCAGTCTTCTCATTTAAGGACCAGAGCTGGACTTGTCCTGTATTGAGTGCCCTGGCCTTCAGAAGAGACTGGACAAGACTCTGGGTAAAGCCTGGTCAACACACACACCCTACAGACCCGGGTGGCTTTCCTCTCCTGACAGTGGCTGTAAGAAACTAGCTGCTGTACCAGGCAGACACCTGCCCACCCTCTTTCCTCCAGAGCTTGCCCCTCCTCTTACTAGTCCACCCCACCTGACTCTCCCCTCCTTGCACTCAAGAGCCTATGAAAGAGAAAAAAAAAAAAAAAAGATGCAACTTGTCTCATATGGTGCCGACGAGAGATGTGAGGTGTAGACTGAGTCCCACCTGCCCCCAAATGTCACCTGGACAAGCTAATTGGCGCTGCCTTCTTTCCCCTTTTCTCACATCCCTCAGGATATGAGTTCTAATATCCACTTAAGAACTGAGTGATCGCAGGCAAATTACTTTACCTCTCTGGCTTTGAGTTTCCAGTTTGTAAAATAGTGATAATAAGACCTCCTACCCCTCCTGAGTAGGTCTGAAAGTGACCACATGTGGCAGACTGTATTCTCCCAAGATGGCCACAGTAGCTCCCCTGTGCCACATGCTATCTACAATAGGACCTCAATACACCTTCAATCCAGAGGTGAGGTCCCCTCCCCTTCATTCTAGTTGAGAGTCTGAGACTCACTTGTGTGGTTTGACTTTTGAGGTGCGGTCAAAAAAAGGTGAACACGCTCTGCCTTGTTTGTAGAAACACTTGTGCTCCAGCCTTAAGCTGCTATATAAGGTGTTTGAGTGCTTGAGGCAGCCATGATGTGAGGAAGCTCAAGCCAGTCCATGCAGAGAGACCATGTGGAGAAGTCCTGAGATCTCGTGGAGAGAGATACCTGGTCAGCCCCCTGTTGTGCTAGTTATAGCCACTAGAACTGCAACCTCATGTCTGACTGCAACCTCATGTCTGACTGCAACCTCATGAGATGCTCCCAGCCTGAACCACTCAGCTGAGACCCTCCCAAATTCCTGCTCCATAGAAACCACGAGAAATAACACAATGATTGCTGTTGTTTTAAGCCAAAAACTTTTTGGGTTATTTGTTATGCATCAATAGATAACTGGAACACCACACATATAAAAACATCCTGTAAACTGATGGGTAAATATTAAGAACTCCAAATGCTATTGTAAGTTTTATGATTATTTCTTTTTCAAGTCTGCCCTTGATTTTGTCTTTAGAAAGATACATGTATTGTGGGTGGAGTGAGAAGAATCCACATAGAAATGGCCTTAGCTGTTTTTCGTTTTGTTTTTAAGACACTGTCTCACTCTGTCACTCCAGGCTGGAGTGCAATAGCACAATCTCGGCTCACTGACACCTCTGCCTCCCAGATTCAAGCAATTCACCTTCCTCAGCCTCTGAAGTAGCTGGGATTACAGGCATGTGCCACCATGCCCAGCTAATGTTTGTATTTTTAGTAGAGAGACAGTTGTGCCATGTTGGCCAGGCTGGTCTTGAACTCCTGACCTCAGGTGATCTACCCACCTCGGCCTCCCAAAGCATTGGGATTATAGGTGTGAGCCACTGCGTCCAACCTTGCCCTTAGCTTGAGGAAAAAGAGCCCAATTGCCACCAAATGGTGTCAATATGAAAATGACTTCTCAATTCACTTGGTGGCATCCTTTAGAAATAAAGGTTCCATGAACTAATTAAAAAGTGAATTGCAACTAGGGGATTTCCTCCAACAAAGCCAAGCTAATTCTACGCAACAATCCTCAAAACATGCTGCAGAGAAGCTGAGTGCCCTGCGCAGCACAGGAAGATGCCACTTCAGCTGCCCAAAGGGAAAGAAAAGATGCGTTGCAGGCATAAGAATGTGGACATGCAGCCTGGCCTTCTATCCACATTTTGGTACTGGGGTGGGGGAGATGATCTCCACCAACCACAAAACGTGCCTGCCTGGGGTGGCCAAGTGCCTCACAGTTCAAAACAACAGCTTTCGTGCCCTCCTCTCTGTGGTTCCTGGGAGCAAATTGAGATGGTAAGGCCATCAGCGGCCTAGGCGCTCATCATCTTGACAGATACTTAGCTATTCATTTAAAAACAAGCGAGAGAACAAGCGTCAGCTGTATTTTTTAATTACTCCTGGATAGGACTGGGAATGCTTTAGCATAATTGGGGTATTGAGAGTGTTTTTCCCCTTTGAAGGCCTTGTTGCAGCAAGAAAAATACCATGTTTATTCTAATTAAAACCAACTCTTCTTTTAAATCATCATAGCAATAGAAAGGCAAGTGGTGATGGATATTTACTTTTTAAGGGGAAGGCCACTAGGAAGAGATCTGCTGTGAACCTATGTCCTTCAGCATGGAATTCCCTTACGTGCAGGATCAGTTCTCTCATTTATTATATGGGAGATGTGAAGAAAATCCCACTTGTTTCCTTTGGCACTAATTGAATTTGAGATCATTGCTCCCACTTTCTGTTACCCCAGCCCAGTGGGGTGTAATGTACCAAGGACCAGGTCTCCTGGTATGAAGAGTATTTGGGACATGTGGTGTCCAAAGTAATCCCTAGGCCTCCATGGGAGCACCAGGCCTGGAGCTGTCATCAGCATGCCTGGACTGTGCAGTGGCTCCCAACTATAATCCCAGCACTTTGGGAGGCTGAGGCAGGTGGATCACCTGAGGTCAGTTCAACACCAGCCTGCCCAACACCATGAAATCTTGTCTCTAATGAAAACACAAATATTAGCTGGGTGGGCACCTGTAATCCCAGCACTCAGGAGGCTGAGGTAGGAGAATGGCTTGAACTCAGAGGTTACAGTGAGCCGAGATCCCACCACTGCACTCCAGTGTGGGCAACAAGAGCGAAAGTCCATATTGAAAAAAGATTGAAGGGTCCAATAGAAACACTTTGACCAGACTGGCCCTCCCACACTTCTACTCTGCTCCAGTAACTACCTCTAGGGAGGCGAGGAGGACAGGTGAATTTAGCCAACAACAAAACAAGCTGTAATTGTACACCTGGCAGGTGGATAATGAAAAATGACAATAAAAATAGTAAGGGTCCCTCTAAATGTAACCTCATTTCTAAAAGCCTCTGGGTGCCCTGCCCTTTTCAGGTGCTGAACTGTCTTGTTCCCATCCTTCACCCTTGGACTGGACTCGAGCCTGGGATGACAATGAGCACACTGGAGCCAGGGATGGGGAACGGCTGCCCAAGGCACTCCTGCCTCCTGGGCACTCTGTCCGCCCAGAGCACAGGGGGAAGCAGTTTACCTGATTGCACCTATTTGCAGCCAGACACCTGGCTTTGACCAAATGTGACCAAACGGCTGACAGAGCACATTAGCTTGCCTCCTCTGCTTGTCAAAACAATTAGGCTCTGGAAGGCGGTGGCGGCCTCCCCAGGCTGAGAAAATGCCATCGGTGTTTAAGACCATTCATCGGCCTCCTGGAAGGTTGGACAGGGCCAAGAGGGCAAAGGACCTAAATGGGTAGATGGGGACTGGGTTGCAGGAAGGACAGGGGAGTGATTAAAGCACTTTTAAAAACCTGAAAGTACCACATAGCCATGAATGGCAAAAGGTCTCTATTCCAGTGGATCTGTAGGGCACACGGCTGGCGTGGTGCTAAGTGTAAGGGGTGGGAGCCCTGGCATCCACCGGGTGATTGACAGGCTGGCCCTCCCGCACTTCTACTCTGCTCCAGTAACTACCCGTATTATGCCGAAATGACACAAGCGACAATAATTAAGCCCAGATCTCTGTGGATCGTTCGCAGTGATAATTCCACCTTTGTAATTCAGCTTCAGATAAACCCCTTTTGTTCTGCCTTATAACACAGATTCTAGTATCATTCAAGTATATTAACTGTAGCCTATTACTGTCACAAAAAATGCTCCCTGAGCCATAGCAAAAGACTCCCTAGACAAAACTTTATGTCATGTTAATCCAAGCTTTAATAACTGTGAGGATATATAACTGTATTCTAATTGTGCTCTGCGTTCCCGCATACAAAAACAGAAGATATCAAAAATGACAGCAGCCGATCTCTTCAAATAAAAAAGCATTAATTCCCCACTCAGGGCGCTGGGATGCTGGGGTGAAGAGATGCATGTTTATCTAAAGACAGAAGAGATACGGGACTTTTGAGGACAGAGAAGGTTTGGGGGCTAGGGTGGAACCACCAGGAATCAATGCCACGACAGCGGAAGGCTGCGGAAGAGGCTGGAAGGCAGACATGAAGACTTGGACACGGAGACTGACTTGTCAAGAGATCCAGGTCAGAGATGTGCAGGGAAAACAGAGAAGCCAAGTAAAGCTTTTTTTTTTTTTTTTTTGAGACAGAGTCTTGCTCTGTCGCCCAGGCTGGAGTGCAGTAGCACCATCTCGGCTCACTGCAGCCTCCATCTCCCAGATTCAAGCAATTCTCCTGTCTCAGCCTCCTGAGTAGCTGGGATTACAGGTGCCCACCACCACACCCAGCGGGGTTTCACCATGTTGGTCAGGCTGGTCTCGAGCTCCTGACCTCATGATCTGCCCACCTTGGCCTCCCAAGGTGCTGGGATTACAGGTGTGAGCCACTGCGCCCAGCTCAAGTGAAGCTTTCTAGAGCAGCTATGAGGATCCCTGGGATCCTGACTGGGTTTGGACACTAACTCAGTGGGTAACCCTGACCAAATCATTCCCGATAGCTGAGCCTCCCTTTCTTTCTAAAGAGAGAGCAGCAAGTCAGACATCCTGTGGGGCTCACTCCCTCACCTCCTCCAAGCCAGGTCCGGGCGGCCAGTCCAGCCAGCTGATGTAAACTTGCACCCCGCTCCAGGCACTTCCTCACTGCCTTTAGCCTGTATTCCACTATCGTCTTTTTAAGTGGTTCCTACCATTTTCTAACTGTGCTGGGTAATTTTCTTTCTTTCTTATTACATTTGCTATTTATCCGATGTCTCCCTTCACTTGAGTTGACTTCTGTCATGCCCGGGACTTGTTTCTGTTCTATTCACCGATTCATCCCTGATGCCCAGCATGGTACCTGGCATACAGTGTGTGTTCGGCATTTGCTGAATGACCATGTGGCATGGCCATGGACCAACTGTGTGGTCCAGGACAAGTTTCTTCAACTCACTGAGCCTCAGTTCCTCAATTGAGGATAAAAGTGGCAGATACCTACCTTGCAGCATTGCCGAGAGGATTAAATAGCAGATGCAAAAGCAATTGGAATGGTGCCCAGCACCACAGAGGTGCTCCACGCAGGTTATTTTATGGAGAAAAACAAAATTCCCTATAAGGCTAAAGATTCAATTTTCACTGCCAAGACCAAACGCAGGTCCTTATGTAGTTATTGGTCTTATTACCACCACAATGTACCCTTCTTCTAGAACCTCCACCTCCTCTACTTCTCCAGCCCCCAAACCCACTCCAGGCCCACAGTCTGTCTCCTGACACCAAAAAAGAATCAAAACGTTAGGCTCTGGTGGGGCACTGCTGCATCACGAAGGCTGCTGGGCACGGGAATCCAGGAGCCCACAATCAACCTGGGCAAATTATAAACCTCCTGGCTTTAATGTTAGCTGCTCTTTAAAAGTCAGGATACTATATTTTAATGGCTCTCCCTTACTGCAGATGGTGGGAATGAAATATAACAAAATGAATTCTCTGACAAGAAGAATTATGACCCTGTTTAACCTCTCTGAGCCTTGTTTCCTTATCTGTGAAAAGGGTATCGTAATAACCCTCACTGCCTTATCACATCCAGTGGTTGTGAAGACGAACGTGCTAGTAAAATTTCTGCCATGTAGAGAGTGACCAGAGGCAGAACCCCGAGGGACCAAAAGCACTTCATTTGTAGCAGGGAGACTTGTCCTGCAGTGCCAGCTCCTTGGCTCATGCCAACCACTTAACTTCTGCAGAGCACCAGTGTTTTCATCTGTATAATGGGAATTCAAATATTCCCTGCTCAGCCTACCTCACAGTGCCGGGTGATGCTGGGACAGGTACTTCACAGCCTGTCAATCACTTTCACGCCCACACGAAAATGGCCCCAAGGGGAAGAACAGCAGGGCATACCTCCGGCTGCGGTCTGGGCAGCTGAAGAAGGTTTTAATAATAATGACCACAGGTAGATGAGACGATCTGATCTCTAATACTCCTTTCCCGGACTAGGAGACAAGATCATCTCGCAGCTCAAAGCTGTTTCCTGCCTACCCTGTGATCTGGAATGCCTTCATCTAGTTGGAGGGCAACTGAACAGAATCTCCTTAAAACATTACAACCCACAGGTACAGCAATGGCACCCATATGGGCTGGATCTCCGCCGGCCAAGGACTACCCTGTGGCGAGCGTTCCTTGACTGGGACCAGAATGGCCGGCCTCTTTAATGATATTTTCACCACACTTAACAACCAAATAATAAAAGGATGGGGAGATTGCAAGCAAGGACAGCAACTTCATTCATCTCTTCCTCTTTTGCTGAAGATCAACTATGCAACCAGATTTTATCATGAGACACTTCAGAAATCCCCAGTGTAAACAGCAATCTCTCCTTTTACCTTTCTTTGGACAATGCAAAGGACATAAAACGTTCTGAAGCTCTCATTCCCAAAACAGCTGAAAGGCAACCACAGGCAGAATATGGAGCAAAGATGGCTGCTCCTCAGGTCTCCAAGGTGCCCACTTGGCCTTTAGAGCCTGTTGGCTGGAGCTCAGAATTCTGGTAGCACAGTTGGGCAGCGTCTGGAAAGACACCTTGGATTTCCTCCTTCTACCTAGGAGCCTGAGGTTTCTCAGCACCCACGGAGTTTACAGTGGGCTTCATTTCCCTACCCCATCCTATGCTGGCTTACTGTTTTAACAAATTCTCATCTCCCCAAAGTGGAAAACCGATGGAAAATGGAGGAAGAACAAAGTCTTTTATTCCACAAAAGACTGAGAACCCAGGCTGGGCACGGTGGCTCATACCTGTAATCCCAGCACTTTAGGAGGCCCCGGCAGGTGGATCACCTGAGGTCAGGAGTTCAAGACCAGCCTAGCCAACATGATAAAACCCTATCTCTACTAAAAATATAAAAATTAGCTGGGCGTGGTGGCGAGTCCTTGTAATCCCAGCTACTCAGGAGGCTGAGGCAAGAGAATCACTTGAACCCGAGAGGCAGAGGTTGCAGTGAGCCAAGATCATGCCTTTGCACTCCAGCCTGGGTGACAAGATCAAAATTGTGTCACACACACAAAAAAAAGACTGAGAACCCAAATGGTGTTCCCTCACCCCTCCCCATACTGGCACACAGCACATCAGACCCAGGGGAGAGAGGCCCCACGTACTCAGCAACTGCTGAAATTTCTTCAATACCTATCAAAAACTATGTTTTTCCCTCATCCATCCAGCATCAGCTGCCAAAGACTTAGATATCTATTTGAGAACCTTCAGTATTGATCAGGTCAAATGCTTCAAGGTTTTTATCTCCTGATTTCTTGACCTTAAAGGGACCCGGAAGACTGACCCAATATAGCAGTGCCACAGTGAAAATAATTGTGGGGAAAGAAAGATACTGAGTAATTCACGCTGTCCTGATTTTTGTTTGTCCATCGCCTTCAGTGCTCGTGTAGAATGTCTCACAAATCCTTCCCCTGTTTTTCATGGGGATTACTGAGACCCTGACAACAGAACGATGCCTTGCTTTACTAGAGGAATACTGTCGAGAATTACAAATGAAAGACTTAAGCAATTCAGTACATTATAAATCAGACACTATCTTTTCATCTTTGTTAATATGTGAACTCCAGGCAGCAAATCTGCTTTTTTTTTTTTTTAAACAAAAAAAGAAAAATAGAAAAGCTTTAATCACAACCAATTTAGGTGGTATCAGGAGCAAATTACAATACTAATACAGAACTCAGAGAAAGAAAAATAAGTTTTAAAAGTACAAAATGATGACTTTCAGAGTAATGTTCATCATCCTTCTGGCCAGCCATGCAGATTCATCATCCAGGGAGGAAAACTGAGGCAAAGCTGCCAGGCTAGAAAGGCTGAACAAACAGCAGGAAGGAGGCACACTGTGGCTTCATATGCTATGGTTAGAGCAATCATGAAGGCTCTGAAAAAATCATCATCTTCATCATCATCAGGGTCTTGGCCATCCTCCTGCAGGAAGGCACAATCATTCCTGAACCGGAAGTCAGGATTGGCAGCTGTTGGTCTCTGCCCCAACTCCTTATATCTTCTATGAACTCAGGCCCATGTCCACCCCCACCTGACCTCAGGCCCTCCCAAAGAGGACCCCAAAGGCCAAGACCCTCCTGCTGCAAGGGCTCTGCATCAGGATACATAGATGTCTAGATTCCATTTATCCAAGGTCTATTATCAGCCACAAATGTCAAACCCCAGGCTGGCTGCCTCTACCCCAAGTGTCCTCCTGGACTGCTTTCCAGCACCTCAGTTAGTCCAAAAAGTACTCTGGCTGCCAGGGTCAATGTTCTGCTGAATTGCAGCTGTGTAGAATCTGGGTGTTCTAAGAGTTAACACCATAGAATCTCAGAGTTGCTTCGCTCATTCACTCCATGACCTGTCTTCTCCAATGCCCCTGCCGGGCTTAGGTCTTGTAATAGAAAACAGAAATAGGAAGAAGCAGGTAACTCCCCTCCATGGGAGAATGCGAGTAAACTGACCAATGCGTGCGCTTGGCAGGAATGCTCCCGAGGTCTCCAGGATAAGCCCTTTTATCCCAGCGCCAGGACAGCTGCAAGCTATGAGGCAATGGCCCACAAGGGGCAGTGTGACACCTCCCATCCGCCCTCCCCACCCCGGAACCCTGGCAGGTGCTTGGCAGAAGCTGCCTGCGTGCACCTTGGCTCCAAGGAGTCTGAGCCATTCTAAGCGGCAGGTTCCAAGTACTAAGCTGCTGCCCCTGGCTAAGGAAGAAGGAAAAAAAAAAAAAAAAAAAGGAGGGAAAGAAAGGAGTAAAGCCAGTGAGGAATGCAAAATTCCCTCCAGAAGCCATGTCAGCCACTCAGCACAATCTGGAAGGTTGGAGCTAGGAAATGAGGAGCAGGATAAAATGTTTAACCCAAGTTCTTTGATAATGCGCCCCACAGAAACAAAACATCGGCATCTCACCAAGATCATGATCGCTTCTGGGCCTGGGATACCTTGAAACATGAGCCATGGTGTTTTATTCCAAATATTTCTCCTTTGGCAAAGATAATCCCTTTACTTTGGGAACCAGGACACACAAAAGTACCCAAACAACTGTTGTCCCATCCATGCTTTACATGACCTCTTGTGAAGACATGCACAAGCTCTTCCTGGTCAACAGAGGGCCGCTTTCAAAGCAGCCCCTACCTTCAGTGTGACTAATCATTTAAGTAGCCCCCAAACTCTCCAGGTTCTCATGAGAGGATGTCTACAGAACTCTTGCCAGAGGAGATTTGAGAAACTGAAATACAGTACCTGCCAAGGACAAGCCTTTTGGCACTGTAACCACCCTCGAGACACGTGGCAAATTTCATAAGGTGTCAACAATAGATCTAAACACATTAGACTTAGGAGAACAAAGGAGAGGTCTTCATGGGGCCTAAAAGGAAGCCTGTTGCTAAATAAGCAGGAGGAAGAAGAATCAGCATCTACTGAGTGCCAGGCATCACACAGCCAGCCACGATTTCACCTGCATCTCCAGTGCAACCCTTCCAGACAGGATTGATGATCCCCATGATCAGGGAGACTAAAGGGCTTGGCCTGGGAGAGCATCACAGTCCATGATCTTTCGTCCACTGTCTGTTACCATTAGGTACATTCTTGGTTTAGAGTTTCCTATGAGAATTTATAGCCAACATAAGTCATGCTTAGAGCCCATGATCTGGACTTTCCAACCACCCTCTCCTCATCCGAATTCCTCTTCCTTCAAATCATGAAAACATTAAGTTTGCAGTGCCCACATGGACGACAACACCCAGAGATACCTGGACTTACAGATAACCCACAAATGCTTTTCTTCTTTCTCCCCAAGTCCTGTTTCTTAGCAAAGCCTTTATCACCTGCAGAATGGAGTGGTCACAGGGCAGAGGTAAAAGTCTTCAGGGTCCTCACTCCAGCTGGGTTATGACCTCCCCTTCTCTGAGAACCCGAAGGTAAACACATATTAGAAGACCAGCAGGTGGTGGGGGCGGCCAGGATGAATAGCACACGATAGCTGGGTCACCAGTGTCTGTGTCACCAGTGTCTGCAGTGCCAGGGAGGAATTAGGTGGGGATGGTTCTGAGGACAGAAGAAGAGGAGCCAGTGCTGGCTGAGTCCTCCCAGGATGCAAGCCACAGAGGTTCTCGGAAAGCTGCTGGGCTGTACCAGCTGGCCTCGCTGGCCTCTGTCCACTGAAGAATTAGCTGTGCCAGGAGCCTCCCTGGCCACCCTAGAATCCCAAAGCCCATGCTCAGAACCCCAGGGCCTTTGGCTGCTTCGTCCTTGCTCGCAGACCCACCCTTCTCTTCTGTGTCTCCCTCCCTTCCTCTCTTGCCACAAGCAGCGGGAAGTACCTGCTCCTGGACCCCCAAAGTCTCCAGGCCTCACTCCCCTCTTATCCCACCCCAGATTCTGCATGCCTCTTTAGGGACATGCTCTCCCTTGAGAAGTTCCATCAGACCCCACTGTGCCTATACCATACCCTGCTTATTTCATAAACTCACACAACTGGGAGGCGGGGGTACTCCTGGAGATTTTATCTGACTCCCTTCTTTGGCAGATGAGGGCTACCTGGGCCCCAGAAACCACGTGTCTTGCGGAAGTCTACTCAGCCAGTTGGCAACAGAGCTGCGACCAGAACCCAGGGCTCTTAATGACCCTTAATGACTCTGATGACACATAAATGAGCATGAGGGGCTGTATCTCTGGGCATGGGCTGAGAGTGAAGGCCTTGGGACACCGCCTGGCTCCCGCCTGGCTCCTGGCAGTGTGTTTCTTCTCTGACTGAGAGGCACTTGTGAAAAGGGTACTTTGGAGCTCTCTGCCGGCACATCTGATCTTCCCTCTTACTGCGTCTGCACACCGCCAGCTCTAATGTGCTGTCATTTTGCAGGATCTGAACACTTCTTTTTTTAAGATGGAGTTTTGCTCTTGTTGCCCAAGCTGGAATGTGATGGTGCGATCTTGGCTCACTGCAACCTCCGCCACATGGGTTCAAGCAATTCTCCTGCCTCAGCCTCCTGAGTAGCTGGGATTACAGGTGTGCACCACCACACCTGGCTACTCTTTTGGATTTTTAGTAGAATTAGGGTTTCACCATATTAGCCAGACTCCTGGCTAATCTTTTGTATTTTTAGTAGAATCGGGGTTTCACCATATTAGCCAGACTGATCTCAAACTCCTGACCTCAGGTGATCCGCCAGCCTCGGCCTCCCAAAGTGCTGGGATTACAGGCAGGAGCCACTGCGCCCAGCCAGGATCTGAACACATTTCTAAGCTGCATTTCTGGCTCTGAAAAGTGCAAAGTACTCACCATCATACCCCCAAAACTAAGGGGAACAAGTCTCCTAGTCCATAAACACTTGGCCCAAAAGTGTTAATGGGGTTAAATATGTTTATGTATTTAAATATGTCATGTGGTAAGAAAAAAAGACCTGCTCAAAGATAGGACATTTCAACCATTGCTGATTATCTTCCATTATTCAAGCAAGCTTCCACAGATGCTGAAAGGAGGCGAATGTTGAGGGTATATGGAAGTATCATCTCCTCCCGGGAGGAGGAGGAGGGGGAGCCGGTTTTGTTATATACCGATGAGCTGCCCCTGGTTGTTTTCTCCAGTAATCTTAGTACCACCCTCTGGAGGAATGAGGCCCGTTCTGGGGCCAGCATGATCATTGGGACAAATGAAGGTGCCTTGGGCTGCTGCCCTGGACTCCAAATGGGTCTTCATCCTTCCAGCTCTCTCCTTCTAATCCCTCTCACACACATTTCCTGGGGGGCCTATCAAGGGCCTCGCACAGAGCTAGGCACCGGGAAGAGCTCACCATCTAGTGACGTGATGGACAGGCAGGCAAAAAGTAACCATAAAGCACTGGGCCGTATGCACAGAGTGGGCACCACGTGCTATGGCAGTAGAGGGAGGGAGACGCAACCAAATGTACCGGGTCAGGGAGGAGGGAGCTGGCACACCTGCAGATGTCTGTGGGCTGAGGGATGGCTCTGGGAATTCACAAACAGAGAGAGTTTCAAGCAGAAGACACAGCCCATTTAAAGCGACAAGAGAGGGGAAGGGCAGCCAGTTTGGTGTGGTTAAAGCCGAGTGCGTGAGAAGGCAGAGGCCTGGAGAGAGCACCTGGGAGGGCCTCATCAGCCTCACCAAGAAGCTCAGGCTTTCCTGGGGGGTGACGGGGCTGCTGCCAGCTGTTCAGCAGGGAAACAACATGGCCAGCACAGCTTAAAACCATCCCTCCGACAGCATGGAAAGGGTGGACCAGAGGGGGCCAAGGCTGGAAGTTAAGAGAAGAGTTTTGTCACTTGAGGGATGAGTGATGAGGTAACGGGTGAAATACAACTAAGGAGCGAGGTAAGCAGTACTTTTAGGGTACAATAGAAAGACTGGCAACTGGAGATGTAGAACAGAAACAAGAGAGGCATGGGAATGGCGACATCCTGGGTACCACTAGGACAAAGCACACGGGAACAGGATCTGACCATGCCACTCACCTGTGTGGAACACGTGGCTGGCCCCCAACAGCACAGGCAGGACTCCTGGCCTGGCATCAAAGCTGCTGTCTTGGCAGTCTTCTGAGCTGGCCCCGCAGAGCACAGTACTGCTCTTCTCTCTCAGGGAATCTCCTCACTCACCCCCTGATCTGACGGCCCCCTGCACTTCCCACTTCTGGACTTCCCTTGCGCAGGGCCACACTGACTGCCTCTGCCTTCGGAAATACAGCCTGGCCTTCAAGTGAAGCTCAAATGACACCTCTTCCCGCCCCCCACCTGGCTGGGTTCTTTCTCCTTCTCTTTTACAATCCCAAAGCACTTTACATGCACTTTGCATACTTGTCTTGTGTTATGGTATCTGTCACTCTCTCACCCACTAGACTCTGTGATCCCTGCCAGCAAGGACATGGATAGCGTGGTTTATCTTTTTGCAGCCCTTGTGGAGTGCTGGACAAACTAAGTTTTCGTAAGTCTGGCAAGATGCTAAAGTCTCTGAAAAGACACTAAAGAGTCTAGGGGGTGGAGATAAAAGCTCTCGCAAACTGATTCTTTCTCCTTCCCACACTCGGGATGGCCATCACTTACATCCTCCCAAATTGGAATTAACAACAGACCTCAGAATTTAGTGTCTAAAAAGGCAACCTATCCAGAAGAAAAGCATAAGATGCCTGATCACCAATGAATAAGCTTTCCAAACACATACATGGAAGATGAGTTTGACAAAGTGGGTAATATGAATCTCATATATTATTTGCACAAAATGTAAGGACGTCACTTGCAAGTTCACTGCAAGAGAGAGGTTACATAAACACCGTTTCTTTCATAATTCCAGTGACACAAAAATTTTGGGAGCCCTCGTTTGGCAGTAAGAAAACCTTGTTTTTGCTGGGTTACGTTTTCGTTTCGTTTTGCCCTTCCCTATAGAAAGGAGACTCAGCTCATTTGGATTAACTGAAGTGAAAAGAAAGCAATATCTCTGCTCTAATTCCACAAGGCTAGTAGAGAGCCCCTTGTAAATTCATTTCTGGTTCTCAGACAAACGCTTGTGAACCTGCTGATGAGAGGGAGAGTATTGTCTGCATTTGCTAGGAGAAAAAATAACCCTGTGATATTCCTCCTTCACCAACCAGGCAGCCAAAACACGGCTTCTACTCACAGGGGTGTTCAAAGTCAGAAAGCAACTTGCATGAGTGGAGAAAACTCATTTCAGAAGTTGTTATTCTGACACTGCATCCTTGGGAGGTGACTGAGGGAAGGAGCCTGCTTGGGGAAACAGACCCCCTCCCTGCAATACACCCAAAGGCTTTCCCTAGAGAGGCGGAGAAGCTGGGTCTGTTGCACTGGTGTGGTGGGGGCTGTCTCGGCCTGCAAGAGTGGAGTGGACTCAGAACACAGGTGCAGAAGCGTTTGCAGGGGCTTCCTTCACCCAGGTATGCCCTCCCCTCCATGGCCAGAGCAGGGGGTCACTGGCTCATCTTCAGCCTGAACTCCTGCTTCCTTCATCCCTTTGACACTCACAGTCATTATGGCAACTTCTCCCCAAGCACATTCCAGGGAGTACTGGTGCCATGGAACGACACTCCTGCGGTGAAATTAACCTCATCCGAGGAACACAGCATGCAGCTGGAGATTCAGGAAGCTCATCACTACATATTAAAGGTTCTGTGAAGGTCTGTGGGAAGGAAGCCCGTTGAACCCACGTTTCCCCAAATGTCTGAATCACGGGCCCTTTCTTCCCAGAGCCGCTCCATGTTCCGCGAGGAAGATGCATTACAGAGATCAGTATTTCTTCCCTTCCATGCATGGCTCCCATCTGCACCATCTTTTGTTTCTATCTGTGCAAATGAATCTGTTTTTCTACATACACAGGCAAATAAGAAGCATTAAATGACAGACCAACACAGACCCAAGAAAGCTTCATACATTAACCAGGTGATCTTCAGAAATGAAGGATTTAACACTCTCCATGTAGGAGACATGAAAGTGACCCAACAGAGATAATGGAGGGGAAGGTCGCTGTCCCTCGCTGTGAAATATATGCTGAAAGCAACAGTGTGGCCTGTGGCTTCACACCTAGGCCACCTTTCCTAAGACTAGAATAGTCCAGGCCAGCCTGATTGAGGCTGGACAGGAAGGCTGTTCTTAAATGGGAAACAAAACCCACTCTGGGAACACAACTTGAGTTGGAAACACTCAGCTCTCCAGTGAGCCGGCACTGGGGGGCAGGCCCTTCGTGAGGCACCCTAGGAAATTCAGAAACAGAGAAGACATGAATCTGCTCAAAGGCTCAGCTTCCAGTGGGCAGAGGGCCTCACCTGTGCAGGAATGGCACAGGTAAAACCCAAGGGAGTTTATAGAAAGGTGAGACCATGTTCACCCCGGGGGAGAGGCAGGGAAGGCTGCCTGGGGCAGGTGCCATTAAAATTGGGTCTTTGAGTACAGGTAAGAGTTCCGATGGGGTGGAAAAGGTGGCATTGCTGACATGAGAGTGACAAGTACAACCACAGGTGATCTGAGAGAGGATGGAAGAAGCCAGGGCCATGAGTAGCCCACCAGGGCTGGGGAAGCTGGCACTGGGGAAAGGACACAGGGCATGCTCCACAGAGGGTCCGTGTACTAAGCAGTACAGATACCCTGCTATCTGAGAAGCTTCCGATTCCTTTGGAGGCCATGGGAAGCAGAGGAATGGCATGAACATAGTTGGTTTTTAAGGCCCATTTCTCTGATCGCAGTTTACTGGATAAACTGGGTAGAGGGGAAGTGTACAAAGAAGGCCATGGTAACTACTAGGCAGTCTAATGAAAAACAGATTTAGAATCTGAAATAATCAGAAGAGAGGAAGCTATTGAGGCAGATAGTACTGAACTCCGAGGGGGAAGAAATATTTGAGGGATCTACAGAACATTCCAGGTGAAATGTCCAGGAAATCACTCCAAGCTTGGCATTCCCCCAAAAGGAGTAAGAGATGTGGACCCACTCACCTAAAGGTGATGCTGGAGGTGGAGGTGGAGGGAGAAGATTCAAGGGAGGAAGCCCTAAGGACATTGGCTTGAGGGGCAGGGAAAGAGAAGAAACAGCTAAGAACAGTCTCAGAGAGGAAGGAGAGCCAGAGAGAACAGTCTCTCTGCTGACAGCCTGAGGCCGGGGTTAAACAAGGGCTCTGCAGCCAAACTACCTGGGTTCAAATTCCACTGCTGCCACCCAGTATGAGAGACATTGGGACAGTGCCTCCGTTTCTCCATCTGTAAAACCAGCTCTCAGCTCCAAACCCACCCTTCTACACTTGTTCTCCACTAGAGCTGGGACCCTGCAAACCACATACATTTCTGCTTTGGCCCTGGCTCCTAGTAGGCTCTGCCAACAGGGGGTGCTAGAGGGAGAGCCGAAGGCTGGAGGAGCAAGAGGGTCTTGCTCCCTCCCATCTGCTGCCTGGGGGCTTCCTATGGGCTTGTGGTTCCTGTGAGCATGACCCTGGCAATGCATCTTCATCCCGGCAGTAAAGGTGCCTTCCCGCACCAGCAGCTGAATCCAGTGTGCAGTTGCTCCCAAAACTTACAGAACTCCCTTAGAGACACCAGCACCAGTGGCCCACACCCCCTCATCCAAGGCCTTGGGCTCCTCCTGCAAACATCTAAATTTTAGTCTTTCCCTCATCAGCCCCAGGTAGGGTAAGGGTGGTGGCTTCCTGTAGTTGCTACCTCCGCGGTACCTGACAGTGGCGGTTCTCAAAGCGTGACCCCCAGAATAGCTGCATCAGCATCACTTGAAAACGTATTAGAAATGTGAATTTGGGGGGTGCCAGTCATCTGTGTTTGAATAAGCCCCACGGGTGATTCGGATGCACCCTAATATTGAAGAACCAGTTCCTTAGTTTTCTTTTGACTCTTTCAGTTAGTTAATTTTACACCCCCATTAACACTTCCTTAGTTTAACCCTCTGCATACAAACAATGGGCATGGTTTCTTTTCTTTTCTTTTTTTTTAAAGCAAGTTTATTAAGAAAGTAAAGGAATAAAGAAGGGTTGCTCTATGAAAAGAACAGCTCAACTAACATGGTTTCTATCCCGACTAGACTCTAGCTAATGCAACAGGGATAAAAACACCTACCTCCTAATACAACGCTAATACTTATTATCATTAGTATATTAAGCTGCAGAAGCCAAAAGCAGAAATTAAGAAATGTTAGGGTCAGTAGAATCAAATATACAAGGATACTGGATTAGGTTATTGTTACTGGCTTTTCAGAGGAGTTTTAAAATCTGATTTAAGAAAAATATCCCAGCATGCACACCTAGCTGGACTCTCTTAGAAAATGCTTCCTTTTTAGTCAATTCCTACACTGATGCCATGCAAAACCACTCCATCCATCAAGCTGTCAGAATGAACTGCTAAATTCTTAATAGTCTCGCTCACACAAAATGTCCCCATAGTCCAATGCGTCTGGGAGGTCTGGCCTTGACTTTCTAAATGCAGGCACATTCAGATAGCCTTCAGAGGTCCCCATAACAGCACTGTTGTCTACAAACAGGGAATCTATACACGTGAGAGGCACAGAGTCTCAGGAGGCTAGAGAAGGAAGGGACCACCCAAATTGTACAGCCCAATCATGCTTCAAATGAGGATGCTGAGACCCTAGAGATGGAGGAACTTGTCCAAGGTCACACTGTCACCAAAGTCACGGCTAACACCAGCATCCAGCTTTCTGACTCCTGTGGCATCCAAACTCCCTTCCACTCCATGTAAACGAATGATAGACTTGGCCACGGCAGTATATTTCATAAGTACAACAATTTAACAAGCAGCAAGAAATCAAATCGTATATGGGTAGAGAAGGACTACAAAAGTAAGTCTGGGAAGAGCTTAGGAAGGAGCATGGCTGTCAGCAGACAGTGTTCTTTGCCCATCAAAATAATAAATGAAGTCAGGCATTTACTGTAGCGTGAACGCCAAAGCAACTGCAAGCCCACGGTGTTTCCAACAATCTCGGGAGACAGGCAAGCCACTCCAAGACAATGTATTCTTAATGCCTTCTTAAACAGATTCTGACTCAAACCCTGAGACGGTTGGGTCTCTTCCAAGAAATGTTAGCCACTCTGAGATATCTCTTTCAGTTCTCTCCAGCAGATCTCCTTGGAATTTGCCAGATAAACAGGCAATTTATCATGTGGTTGAAGGTTGTACGTAATGCATTATCTGCCTTCCACCAGGATTTGTGCATCTGTGTAAGGCCCCTGGTTGGGCTGGTGGACCGACTCGCCTCCATCTTTAGGTGCCATAGCAACATGAAATCAACAAGGAGTGAACTGTTAAATGAATAATTTACTGATTTCATAAGAACCTGTCTTGCAATTTATAGTTCTATTATCTTTCCTACCCATGTCTTAACTCCTTTGTATAACAGCTGCAATCAAGCTGAATAACATTTGAGAATCTAATAAGCATATACCACCCTGTACTCAAGCCGATAGCTATGGATTGATTCTGACAGCAGTTATGTTCCTGTGAGGCCGAGTCTTACCACTGTTACCTTTTCCTTGCCCCTTCTGCAAAGGGGTGAAAGTTAGGGAGCAAATGACCCCCAATAAGCTTTACATTCTCAAATGAAATGTTTTTCTTTGGGATATCTGGAGCCAATCAAGGCAGAGTTGAGTGGCACTCAGAAGTATTATGTGGAAGAAATATCATTGAGTACAATCTACCAATTGTCACTTTAAAAATTCCCAAAGAGACCTAGTTACTAGCAAAGGAGAAGGGGGGAAAAAAGGCAAAGTATAGTTTCAATGACAATTGTGGTATTTTAAAGGCTCTTTCAATATCATCAGTGATACCATTTTAGTGGCAGAAGCAGATCTTGTCACTCAGCGTCAATTTAAAGGATATTTATGAAGAAGACAATACAATGAGAGCAGACTTATTTGCTGACTTATTTATTTGGGTGGAATAGGTTAGATTATTTTGGTTCCAGGCTTTTCAGTCGAACAGATAAATCCTTTTGAAAGACATTACTTTCCAGCTGCTACTCTTCAGTCTCTTCAAGGAAATCAAGCTAAGCAGTAGTAACTACTAACTATAGGGAAATGCAGGCTTTAACACCTTGTCACTGAAAACGCAGACTTTTTTGCACCCAGAATGGTTCCCAGCCCGGGGACATCACCAAAGGCATTCGTAATTATCATGAACCCAGAGGAAATGGGTCTTTCTCCAGTGCCTTGTGTATATCATCCTGTACTACGAGTCACTGAAACCCTCTGAGCCTCCCTTATCAATGTCATCTCCAGTCTTCCAATCCTAATGGTCACTGGCAACAAAAACCCATTCCTTTCACTGAGCATGCCACTAAGGAAGACGTTCCCTAACTGTATTCCTCATATTCAGGGCAAAGGCGAAAGTCGCCTTCTTGTCAATGCTCCCCTAATATCAAGGAACCATGGATGTGTGGCTGGGCTGTGGGCTGGCATGAAAACTAACTCATGCCAAGTTACCGAGGCAAACATCATGGCCTCAACACTAGGACAGCTTGGCCCAAAAGGTAGAAGGTGGCAATTCTGAGAACACAGGATTTTTGTGCTAAATCTCTTTCCCTCATCTATTTATAGTGCATCATCTCTGCAGCTGAGGTCTGAAACCCAGCCAAGCTCAGGCAGAGGTAGGCCTGTTAAGTCCTGCTCACATGATCCAATCTCGAAATTCTGAATATATTACTCAAGGGCTTAGGGTAAGGCAGATACTCTGATGAAGGTGACAAGAAATCTCTTCCCCAGCTTCAAAACTCTCCTGCTGCTGGTTGAAGCCTGAACTTCAGCTAACATCAACATGAGTCCTGTTTATTGGCCTAAGAAATATTAAGAAAGTTATATCTTTTGGAGGTTTTCATTTTGAGGTTTTTTGTTTTTAATGGTTACACTGATACCTAACATGCTAACATTAATTCTTCGTATTTTAACGTTGCTAGGCTGATATTTGAAACAGCTTTTTGTCCTGACAAATAAGCCTTCGTGGCTGGGTGCAGCGGTTCATGCCTGTAACCCCAGCACTTTGGGAGGCGAGGTGGGCGGATCACTTAGGATCAGGAGTTTGAGACCAGCCTGGCCAACATGGTGAAACCCCATCTCTACAAAAATATTAATACAAAAATTAAACAAGTATGGTGGTGGATACCTGTAATCCTAGCTACTCAGGAGGCTGAGGCAGAAGAATTGTTTGAACCCGGGAAGTAGAGTGAGCTAAGATTGCGCCACTGCACTCCAGCTTGGGCGACAGAGCAAGGCTCCATCTCAAAAAAAATAAATGGACCTTCGTGAGTTGGTAATGTGAAGTAAAAGGATAATTGACATTTCACTGGTTCTGACCTGGGTTTGAATGCCGGCAGAATGTTGATCTATTACTCAATCACCCCAAGCCATAGGCTCCCAATGTGTAAATATTAGATTCCCACTTCTCAGACCTATCCATGGGGATCAAATGGATCATAGGTGAAGGTGCCTGTCTAGCGCAGAGTATATCTCAGGGATGGCAGCTCAGATGTGGCCATGAGAACTTTTCTGTCCAGGTGACACCCCACCGTGAAGAACAAACAATAATACAAAGTTCAGCGGCTCCAGTTAGTGCAGATGTGTCTGAGTCTTTCACTGCTGCCTTGCTTTACTTGAGAACCAGAATTTCTAGTCCTGATTCTTTTGATATGTCCTTCCTGCCCTTCATTGAAAGAAATATTGAATTTCCTATAATTAAATATAGTATCATTTACAATTAGACCTTAAATATTAAAATGGAGTATCTGGGATGTTTTACCCAGAGCAGGGTTGGAAAAACAACCCATTCTGAAAAAAATGCAATCAGGAACACTGAGTCCAGAGAAGACAGTTAAGGCCCAAAGGCCAGGGTTTCCTTTCCAGAAATATGACGACATATGGAAGAACCTATGCTCCAGGTAAAACTAACCTCTCCAGCCGGCTCACTCCTGTAATCCGAGCACTTTGGGAGGCTGAAGTGGACAGATCACAAAGTCAAGAGATGGAGACCATCCTGGCCAACAAGGTGAAACCCTGTGTCTACTAAAAATACAAAACTTAGCTGGGCATGGTGGCACATGCCTATAGTCCCAGCTACTCAGGAGGCCGAGGCAGGAGAATCGCTTGAACCTGGGAGGCAAAGTTTGCAGGGAGCTGAGATCACACCACTACACTCCAGCTTGGAGACAGAGTGAAATTCTGTCTTAAAAAACAAAAAAAACTAACCTTTCCCATCTCCAAATCCTCCACGCCCCAATATGCAAGGCAAGAGGGTTGCCTCTCCCTCAACCCCAAAACTCAAAGCCCTATTTCCAACAAATGGCTTGAGACTGTGAGGCTGGTCTCAGAGGGTCCTTCATCCCAGCTGCTGTCAGTCCTCTCAACCCCCCAGCAGCCCAAGACTGCCATTTTGTACGGTTCTATGAGCTGGAAGGTGCCATCCTCCCAAAGCACTCCCACCCCCTCCCTCTAGTCCTGTTCCTCATCTGTTACCCCCGGGGCTCACACCGTCTTCCACCTCCCTCTTGTTCTGTTCCTCATCTGTTGCTCCCGGGGCTCACACCGTCTTCCGCCTCCCTCTAGTCCGGTTCCTCATCTGTTACCCGCGGGGCTCACACCTTCTTCCGCCTCCCTCTAGTCCCGTTCCTCATCTGTTACCCGCGGGGCTCACACCTTCTTCTGCCTCCCTCTAGTCCGGTTCTTCATCTGTTACCCCCAGGACACACACCGTCTTCTGCCTCCCTCTAGTTCAGTTCCTCATCTGTTACCCCTGGGGCTCACACAGTCTTCCGCTTGTTTGGCTGGCAGCCCTCTGCCAGAATTAAGCTCCATGAAGGCTGGAGTTCTGTCTGTTTTCCACCCTAGTGCATAGGAAGGCATTAGTACACAGCACACACTCAATGACTGAATGAATGAACAAACGAACGAACGAATGAACAAATGCAGCAGCAAAGAGACCAAGTAGTGAATCTCTGAAAGGTTAAACAGTTAAGTCCTTGCTTGTTTCCTAGAGAGAAGTAATCAGTATTTCAGCAATGGGAAGGGGAACAAAAGTCAAATGGCTTGGCCTCTTGCCCATGGCCAAAACCAAGGCTGCTTTACACTAAAATCTACAACAGGATCCCTGAATTCCTTCTGACTCTGAAAACCGCTGCATGCTTCTCCCAGAGCACTCTAGGACCCCACAGTGGCCTTCGTCATATCTCTGGCTCAACATGAGAATTCAAAAACCCAGTGACATCAGTGCCGGCCTTGGATGTAACAAGGAGACGTCAGTGGTAATCTGTCTATCTCACTGGGTTTTGTCAGGGAGATGAGAGTACAATGCGTGTTTCAGGGGCCTGTGGACTGTTCTTGAGAAACGAAACTAAAGTATCTTGCAGTGCATCCTAAAGGCTTTGAGTTCTGTAATTTGAAACAAAACACAAGCATTAAGTAACAAATAAAGGCTTCTCTGGTGCTTTTGTACTGGAAAAGTATCTTTAAAGATGTACATCAGAGCCAGCAGGGCACCGAGGATTCTAGAATCCGGGGCCCACTAGGCGTCATCCATTCTGACTTGCAGATTCTGCCAAATGGCCTCTCCTCATCAGCAGAGGCCAAGCTCCCCCAGAGGTAAAGAGGGGGCCCCTAGATGAACTGTCTGCTGGCTTTTGGCCTGCAGCCAGGGGCCCCCCATCAATGTGAACAGTGTGACATACTATCTTCGAAAAGACTGCAGAGCATGTAAGATGACCCGAGAGCTTCTCTGGGTGGGTGAGTCTTGGCAGGACCAGGCCGGGCAGAGGCTCCGCACTCTCTACATGCAAAATCTACCCTCAACCCCAACACTCAAAGCTCCATTCCCAAGAAATGGCTTGAGGCTGTGGGGCTGGTCTCACAGTGTCCTTCATCCCTATTGCTGTCAGTCCTCCCAACTCCCCAGCAGCCCAAGACCCCATCATTTGCAGCCAGCATCCTAGCAGGGAGAAGAGAGAATAGCTGCGGCTCTCTCTCCACTCCTGGAGGCACAGAAGGGGCTAGTGAGGTGAACTAAACCAGGGCTCTGATAGTCTCTTGCTTCTGAGCCTTGAAATACCTTCCACTCATGACTGCCACTTGTTCCTGATCTTTCTGCCAGGAATCACCCAGGAGGGACAGGGATGTCAAGTCCTCAACATCTAAGAAGAGAAAGCTTCCTCCCAGAGACCTCGAGCCTTCAGAAGCTGTTCCTTTTGCCAACTTCTCCACCCCCAGCACACAGCCTTCTCTTGGGGCCCTCCCTGGCTTAGACTAGTCCCCTGGGTGTGTTCTGCATCAATGCATAAGCAAAAGCCACTTTCAGAGCACTCAGGAGGCTTTGTAGAAATGTGTACAATCTTTGCAGGGCTAGGGGGTGAGGGGCCATTTTCATTTTCCTCTGTAGACATAAATATCCCTTTGCTTGTGGGAGGTGGGGAAGGAGGAGAATTCTAGTAGACAGGTTTCGGTTAACTACGACTGTTGCTTGATCAAGACCATTTCCAGAGCAGTGCAGGGTGTCAAAAGGAAACCCATTTGTGATCAGCAGTGTCAAGGGTTTCGAACAGCCAGGCTCACCGGCAGTCGGCTTCTGGTGAAATTGCCAGATGCTGAATCCGTTATGAGGCAGTCGTGTCACGAGAAAGCCCAGTTTGTCAAGAGATTCCTTCTGTGGGGCCCACCTGCTGTGTTTTTACCTCTCCAGAGTTCAGATAAACAGTTCCCTGCTTCCTCACCCTTCAACACACACACACCAGGCCTTATGCACCAACACAGTGAATGGTCAAGAATCCATCTTCCGACCCTACCGTACTTTTCCACAGTTAAGGCCAGCCTCAATTTGGTGGAATTTTTCTGCCCCCACTATCAGAAAGTCCCGTCAAAGACTTGCTAAGCGTGAGACAGCTGGCCACATGGGGATGAGGACTTGGAAACGAAGAACCTTGCTTTACAAGTTTTAAATGGGAAAGAGAGTGAGAACAGACAGATCTAGATGGGTTGGGGGGATGGGGATTAGGAGGAGAACCACATATTTCCTTACTTGGCTCTGGAAAACTCATGATATTCCCATGTGGTCCCCAACAAAAGACTGAGCCCCTCTGAATCTCAATGTTCTCACCTGTCAAATGAAAACACTGTCATCTTCCAAGAGCTGTTGTAACGGTTAAATGAGGTCAAATATCCAAAGAGCTTAGTGTGGTGCCCAACACTCAGCCACGCTGAGGTCCTAAGGGACGGCAAAGCTGTATGATGGAAGGAACCTGCATCCTTGAATCAACCTGGATCCTTGAATCACTGCACAGAGGAAAAGGCAACCAGGAACCTCTGTACTGAACTGTTAAGTGGGCAAGAAACCAACTTCTACTGTTAAGCACTGAAATTTTGGGGTTCAGTTATATCCGCAGCCAGCACTACCCAACACAGGTAGCAAGAAGGACAGCTTGTTTAGGATTTGCACCCCAGTAGGTCACTCAAGACAAAATGGTTGGATGGTTACAGGCTCCCACCTATGTGAGGGACCCAACCTGCACAATCCTAACCTCCACCCAGGATCAGGGCAAGGTGCCAGGAGGTTCCTAATGGGTTGCAATGCAGTATGAACGCAGAGGAGGGGAGGGAAGCCTCATCTTCCCTTGACTTCTGCTCAGAGACCCCCAGGAAATATACAAGGCTATTAACCAGAGGGAGCTGCTAATGTAAATCAGCTTGGATAGTCCTATATGTTGTGAGTGGCAGGCACTAACCGTTTGCATGACAAACCTCCTACAAGATGCCGGCTAAACTGCCCTTTTGTGCCAATTAAAGATTCTCCAGAACACAAAGATTACACACCATTCTGCAGCGCTGACAACAATAAAACAATTTTAAAGGCTATTCAGATCTTTGGTTCACAGCTGACATTGTCGGGAGGGGGAGATTGTCTGTGGCTTTGTTCTTTGTTGTTGTTATTGAGTCTAAAGACTTAACCAAGGATTTCTGGGGGAGGACAGGAGATTGGCAGACAGGAGTCTGAAATGCATTCTTGGAGTTTTTAAAGGAGAAAAGGAACAACCTGATGTTCTTTTCGTGTGTGTGTGTGTAAGGAGAAAAAGAACCTGATGTTCTTTTTGTGTGTGTGCGCGTGCGTGTGTGTGTGTGTGTAAGGAGAAAAGGAACAACCTGATGTTCTTGTGTGTGTGCGTACATGTGTGTGTGTAAGGAGAAAAGGAACAACCTGATGTTCTTGTGTGTGTGCGTACGTGTGTGTGTGTAAGGAGAAAAGGAACAACCTGATGTTCTTTTTGTGCATGTGTGTGTGTGTGTGTGTGTGTAAGGAGAAAAGGAACAACCTGATGTTCTTTTTGTGCCTGTGCGTGTGTGTGTGTGTGTAAGGAGAAAGTGAACCTGATGTTCTTTTTGTGTGTGTGTGTAAGGAGAAAAGGAACAACCTGACGTTCTTTTTGTGCGTGTGCGTGTGTGTGTGTGTGTAAGGAGAAAGTGAACCTGATGTTCTTTTCGTGTGTGTGTGTAAGGAGAAAAGGAACAACCTGACGTTCTTTTTGTGCGTGTGCGTGTGTGTAAGGAGAAAGTGAACCTGATGTTCTTTTCGTGTGCGTGTGTAAGGAGAAAAGAAACAACCTGACGTTCTTTTTGTGCGTGTGCGTGTGTGTGTGTGTGTAAGGAGAAAGTGAACCTGATGTTCTTTTCGTGTGTGTGTGTAAGGAGAAAAGGAACAACCTGATGTTCTTTTTGTGCGTGTGCGTGTGTGTGTGTGTAAGGAGAAAGTGAACCTGATGTTCTTTTCGTGTGTGTGTGTAAGGAGAAAAGGAACAACCTGATGTTCTTTTTGTGCATGTGTGTGTGTGTGTGTGTGTAAAGAGAAAAGGAACCTGATGTTCTTTTCGTGTGTGTGTATAAGGAGAAAAGGAACAACCTGACGTTCTTTTTGTGCGTGTGCGTGTGTGTGTGTAAGGAGAAAGTGAACCTGATGTTCTTTTCGTGTGTGAGCATACACATGTGTACACAGCATGCATACACACACACATAGACAACACTCTTTTCTCACTAGCTCCTTTCTGGAGCTCTTCAGAAGGACTTCCATGGAATCCTAGTCTCTCCAGGGTTCTGACACCCTGAGAATATGGGGTTATGGGTGGCACTAGCAGATATTTTTGGTACCAATTAATTGACACTACAAGAGCAAAGGCCTAGAAGCCTTTCTTCATGTTTGTTTTAAAGGCAAATTTTCAAAAACAATAAGAGATTTGAAAAAAAATGTCTTGGGCTTTTCAGAAATGAGAAGTGCATGCAGGCCCTCAGATAAAGCAAGGGGGAGGTTTATTTTAGGCGACAGTACAGTACACTACCTATCAGGTCCTGATGAGGAGTGACCAGACGCCCCACAGATGCCACCTGGGCCTTATTATTTCCTCTCTTGTGCGCACTCATGTGTCCTTAGGGCACACCCGCACACTCACCCATGTTCCCACCATCTGCCCATCCGAGAACCAAAAGCGAGCATCTGTTACTCAGCAAGACTGTGAATGTCCCACTCAACGCGGACCTCTGTGAGAACAGGGGGCCCTGCCTAGTCTTTCTGGTAACTCCTTCAGCTCCTGGGCACAGCAATGAGCTCCTGCCTGGGGTTTCACTCTTAGTCCCTACACCTTCCAGTGCCTTGCACACCACAGAGGTTCAATACACAGTTACTGCATATTTTTTGAATATGTGTTGGCCATACTGGATCAATCACCTCAGAAGTCTACTGATCACCTTAGCATTCAAAAGTACACCGAGGCCGGGCGCAGTGGCTCATGCCTACAATCCTAGAACTGTGGGAGGCTGAGGCAGGCAGATCACTTGAGGTCAGGAGTTTGGAGACCAACCTGACCAACATGGTGAAACCCCATCTCTACTAAAAATACAAGAAAGTTAGCCAGGTGTGGTGGTGCATGCCAGTAATCCCAGCTACTCAGGAGGCTGGGGCAGGAGAATTGCTTGAACTCGGTGGGGCAGAAGTTGCAGTGAGCCGAGATCACGCCACTACACTTCAGCCTGGGTGACAGAGCGAGACTGTCTCCAAAGAAAAACCCACAAAGGCATACAGAGTGGCATGGGGAGGGCACTGGGCAGAAGAAAGGATATAGGTTTCGAGTAGTGATTCTCAACCAGGGGCAATTTTGCCTCCCAGGGGACCTTGGCAACACCTGAAGACATTTTTGATTGCCATGCCTGGGGGTGGCTGGTGCTACTGGCATGCAGCAGGTAAAGGCCAGTTTCCCATTGTTGGGAAACTTCCCACAATGCACAGGACAGTGCCCACGACAAAGAATCATCTGGACCCCAACGTCAGTGGTGCCAAGGTGGAGGAGCCTGGCTTGGAGCCTGGTCTGCCTGAGTTGAACAGCTCTGCCACTTACCAGCTCTGTCATTTTGGAGGGGACGTTCGGCTTCACAGGGACTCGGCTTCCAGATGGGTACAATGGAAATTGTTGTAACTATCTTGCAGAAGGATTAAATGAGATGCTGAATAAATGAGCACGTCTAGACCCCACTGCTATGAATACCAGTGCACATCAAGAGGTCCCAGGAAAAGTACCTGGCCCATTTTTAAGGGAAGAGAGGGAGGAAAAAAGCGTGAATGCTGCCGATTAGCAAATACCCTCAACTTCGCGTGACAGTTCCTATCTCCTCATCTGCCTCTGTCCTGAACTCTGTCCCCTGAAGCCAATTCATTCATAAAAGAAACATCTTCCCCATAAGGAAGAGGAAGGAGACGGAAAAACAAAACCAAAAAAAACAGCAAAATCATAAGAAGTCTGGGTCAGCTCCCATCAGCTGGTTGTGATCAAAACCACATTCATATTCCGTCTGCTGGGGCTAATCAGAAGGCTGCAAATCAGCTCAGCAACGTGAGCTCCCTGCCACTGGCCACCTTCCCCTGCAAACTTTACAAAGAGCTGCTTGCAGAGGACCAGGGAGCAGCCACTCTCCCCTCAACATCCCTGGGCAGCTGTCCAGACATGCTGGGTAGTAGCTGGATTCCAGGGGCACCCAGACATCCTCTGTTCTCAAAGGGCCGCATCCTCCTGCACTTCAGTGGTGAGAGGAAGGTTCCGGAAGAGAGGCCAGAGCATAGCTTCTGCCCATACCCTCCCCACAGAAACAATTAAGGAGCTCAGGCTGCGGCTGCCAAGTTCCTCTGTCCAATTTGGTAGATATTTTAATAGAGGAGGAGAATTCCCAGAGGCCCCCGACGGAAATGCCCCATGTCAGGGAATGTTTGTTTTCATTTCCTTTTGCCGTCAATGAATTCTACTCATGGCAAAGGCTCTGGGCTGGATCAGATCCACACAGAAGCTAACCAGAAGCATTTGTGCCTTGAAATAAATCTCTCTTTGGGGAATGAGTTATATATACATCCGTGTGGGGGGACCTACGCACACATACTCACACAAGCATATATATTATGCATTACAGACAAAATACATGGGCAAATCCCCAAGCAGGCAGCCCAGGGCTTCTGGGAAGGGAAGGTGATCCGCCCATTAGCTTCAAAGGACATTTTAAGAAAAGTGGCAGCCCAGACGCAGTGGCTCATGCCTGTAATCCCAGCACTTTGGGAGGCTAATGCAGGCGGATCACCTGAGGTCAGAAGTTCAAGACCAGCCTGGCCAACATGGTGAAACCCCATCTCTACTAAAAATACAAAAAATTAGCTGGGCGTGGTGGCGGGTGCTGCAATCCCAGCTACTCAGGAAGCTGGGGCAGGAGAATCGGTTGAACCCAGGAGGCAGAGGTTGCAGTGAGCCAAGATTGTACCATTGCACTCCAGCCTGGATGACAACAAGAGCAAGACTCCATCTCAAAAAGAAAAGAAAAGAAAAAGAAAACTAGCTTAATGGGAAAACTCAATGATGGATAGTGCCCTATGAGTAGGAAAGAGGTTCACAAAAGCCAAACTTGCCGCAGGGTAGAAGGCAGCTCCAAGTGACAGGACGAGTAACAGCCACCACCACACAATGTTTATGACATACCAGGATCCATGCTGAGTGTTTCAACCTCACAGCAACACAATGACAACAGTTCTGATTGTCACTATGAGCATTATTCCCATATTACAGATGAGCAAAATAAGGCTCAGAAAGATTAAGGGATTTGCTCCAGGTTGTGAGGCCAGCTGGCAGCAGAGCTAGGGTTCAAGTTCAGATGGGGCTGGCCCCAAAGAAAGTCCCTGGTCTGTAGGACACTGACCCCTCCCTTCCTGCCACCTTCAACTACGGGTCAGAAGGTGTCGCCCCCCACCCCCCCACCTGCCTACTGTGGCTGGGTTATCTGTCTTCTGGGACCCCGCAGTCACTACTCCTTCACTAAAGGGATCTCATCTGCAGGGCTCCTCCTGCCCCCGCCAAAAGGAGGGGGGTCCCTGGACCGAGCGTAGGTAAGCCTGCCAGGCCGTCCGTGAACCGGCTCTCACTCTGAGTGCTCATGAGTTTACTTTAGAAGACTTCTTTTGTGAGATGATAATCCCCTCCTAATTTGTCTTTCGTGAGCATCCATCATTTTGGCTCTCAACCTTGGTTAAAGCAAGGTCCCCTCGCAGGCAGGAAGCGGCAGAAACTCAAACACCCTACTGAGTCTCTCCCCCGCACCCCCTGTGTCAGTGAGGGCCCACCCACCCACAGCAAGAGAAGCTGCATCTCAGCTCTGCAGCCCTCAGCCCCTCTGCTCAAGCTCAAGATCTGGAGGACCAGCCCCTCAGGCAGGAAGCCTCTGAGTGAGAAAGGGGCCAGGCATTCCGTAATTGAAGACCTTTCCCCTCCCCTCCCCTCCCCTCTCATCTCCTCCAGATGCTGATGGCTTTCCAGGAAGCTGGTGCTCTGGGGCAGGAGTGGACCTAGAGGCCTACTGCAGAGGCCAGGGCTGAGAGGGTACTTGTCTGGAGGAGAAAAACAAAAATGTTCAACAGCAGGGCCCAGGCTGGGGGCGGCAAGGGGAGGGGGGCAGTGTGGGGGTTACAGCTGTATCATCTCCTGCAGCTGCATGCCTTGAGTTTCTCTCTGGCTCAATTTCTTCATCTGGAGAAAACAAGAAGAGTGACACCAGCCTGGCCTACCTCATGGGATTAGGGAGCAGCTCAAATGTACTCTTTCCGGCATTCATGACCAACGGGGCACCTGTGAGTACCACGCTTGTACACAGAAAGTGCTCCATAAATACCGCAGGTTGACGGCTGAGTCTGTTAGCAGAGCCAGCTGGATTCGAGAAGCCTTGGCTGGAGCTAAAGTCAATACAGAAGCCACAAACTCAAGTGCCTCAGAGGCCAGGCAGGAGGCATAAACCAGAGAGTAGGGGGTAGGGTGTGAGGTGACCTGTCCACAGGAGCAGCCACCAACCCCAGGGTTACATACCACATGGGGTCCCCACCTCTGCTCTAAGCAAGGTCTTCAGATGGGCCGGAAGCAAGCTTGGGCAGAGCCAAGAGAGCAGCATCATCATAAAGAGAACGCTAACAGCCATCCCTCCTAGGGCGGTCGCTCCAGACCAGGCACTGCTCGCTTCACTGGCAAGTCACTTAACCTCCATAAGGGCCCTATGATGTAGGTACTGTTATTAACCTCATTTTGCAGATAAGGGAACTGAGGCACAGAGAGTTTAAGTGACTTGCCCAAGTGACAGTGGTGGGGTTGGGATTTGAACCCAGGCTGTCTGGCTTCAGGGTCCGCCTTCTTCAGCTTTTTGCTTTACCACCTTCCACCTGCAGGAGCTACTGGCTGCCGGGAGCACTGCTGTCTCCATCCCTGCTGTGGACAGCAAGGCTGATGGCCGCCCCGGTGCATACAATCAACTATTCTTTGACCCTACTCTGCCAGCTAGGTCTGGGGGAAGCTTCTGGGGGACTCATCTATTCATTTTATAAATATTCAGTGTGGGGCAGGTAAGGTGGCTCATGCCTGTAATCTTAGCACTTTGGGAGGCAGAGGCAGGAGGATCACCAGAGGTCAGGGGTTCAAGACCAGCTTGGCCAACATAATGAAACAGTCTCTACTAAAAATACAAAAATTAGTCAGGTGTGGTGGTGCATGCCTGTAGTCCCAGCTACTAGGGAAGCTGAGGCAGAAGAATCATTTGAACCCGGGAGGTGGAGGTTGCAGTGAGCTGAAATCACATCACTGCACTACAGCCTGGACAACAGAGCGAGGCTCCATCTCAAAAAAATAAAAATTTCAATGTGGAGGTACTATATGTCAAAGCTGTGCAGGGCACAGGGGTGTGTGCTAGAAGAGAGGAACTGAAGGGCAGCACCTGACAGGTCTGGAGCCAGCCTTGGGGTGGGGGAAGGGCTTCCTGGGGGAGGCAGCATCTGAGCTGGGTCCTGGAGGATGAAAAGGCATTAAGCTAGAGAAAGAAGAGGTAGGAAGAATATTCTGGGCAGAGAGCATGATGCAACATGGCATCAGCAGGGGTCCACAGAGAGTTAGTGCTAGAGAAGCAAAGTCCAGGTGGGCACCACAGGATGGGCCCATGGGCCATGCAGCTGTCTGCATTCTATCCCAGGGCTACAAGCAGTGGAATGCAAAATCAGATGTGCACTCCAGAAGATCCAAAAGCAGAACCATCTGGAAGAAGGCAGACTCGAGATGACGACACTGGAGACGTGCTCTAGCTGAAAGAAACTTCAGCTCCTGCCCTTCTCACATTAGCCCTTACCCACCAACTCTTCTCTCTCCCCCAGTCTCCCTGCTCTGAAGAGAGGAGGTTCACAAGCCAAGGCTTGAAGATTAACAGAGCTTTGAAGCCAAAGAGGTGACCCCTGGGTAAGAACCAAAATCCCCTGTAAGCCTTAACCCTTTCCTCACCTCCGACACGGTCACGCACTCCCCATCAACTAGAACCTGCTCCGGAGACCATCGACTCGGCACCCTCATCATCTGTGTCTAAGTGTAATGGAAAAAATTGACTGTTTGCTTGGTGCAATAGGGCATGACACTGTTTACACAGAAATAATAGCCCAACTGTGATGGTTCTAAATCTCCATTACAGTGAAAGATTTGAAGGACTAAAGCAGTTAGAAAAATAATTGGTTTTCTTGTTTAGTTTAAAAATCCTTTATGCTTACAGACCATGGACTTACACCTCCCTTCTTAAGGGCTTTAAAATAGAGAAGAACAGGAGCTAGGAGATGAGGCCGAAGTCAAGAACTTCTGTTTTTCTGGAAGGCTCCTCAGAGCTGACAAGGCCAGGGCTATTCTGGATTTCAGAGCACAAAGAAGCTCTTGGAGCCCCCCGCCCCACGGTCTCCTGAGGCTTTTACCAACTTGAAAGCAGCCTTTCTTCAAGGCAGAAACGAAGGTGAGAGCTGGTCTCAGGCAGCCTGTGTCTGAGTCTAAGCCCAAGGGAGCAGGCAAACTGACAGCTGGAGGAGACTCAGGGCCTCTGCTTTCAAGGGAGAAGAAACTGTCAGAGGGTCAGTTACAGGAACAAAAGGAGAAGGGAAAACATTCTGTCTCAAGCAGAGAGAGGTCAGCTAATGACTCCTCTCAGCCCCTTCCAGCACCTCCCCAGTGCTCACCATCCTCACAACAGAGCACACCGGATGCCCGGGTGAGGCCCTGGAGACCCGCGTCCTGGGCAGCCACTCTACCACACCGACTGTGTGCCCAGCACTATGACAGCTCAAGACACCTCGGCAAGCTGTGTGCTGTGTGCCCGCACCTCATCTCAGCAGCCCAGGATTCTTCCTATCTCTTCCTCAAAAGATGTCAGTCTCACCATCTTCGTAGTAACAACAATAAACGCCACATGTATTGCATTCGAGTGTAACGTACCAGCCACTGCATGTTTCCCAGGACTCTGCGTGCTGTGCCTCGTCTCACTGAATTCTCACAACACCCTTAGGTAGAGACTCCTTCTCCCATTTTACAGATGAGGAAACTAAGGCTCTAAGAAGTTACATAACAGGCAGTAAATGGTGGCAGGGATTCAATTGCAGTCCCATCTGCCTCTAGAGCCTGAGCTCTTAGCCACCATGCTTTACATTCCCAGGCTTGAGGCGCCGGCTTCAGTCAACAGACCACAGTGCCAAGGAGGTGACCTTTGTTGGCTGGACCCAGAGAGGACACATCTGGCTCTTTGGCAGGGGACAGCCAGATACCCCAAAATGAGCCAGAGAGTGTTGGCGTGCAGGTCCCTCACAGAGGAGAGGGGCAATCCCAGAAGAAGTAGAGGGCGGGCTGTCTAAGTGCAATACTATGCTTTTAAAATGAAAGGGATGCTATAAGAATGGCTTCCTGGAGGGTCAGTCAACAGAGGCATCTGTAAGTGTTCAAGGAGGACTGTCGGGATTCCCTGGAATCGGTATCCTAGGGGTCCTGAATCACCCTCCCCACCTTCTAGGGGCAGGCCTGGGGAACAGCCTCTGGTTGGCTATAGCACAAGAGAATAAATACTAAAGGGGAAAGCGGGTACCTATCATCCTTCTTTCCTTCCTTCCGTCTATCTGTCTATCCATCCACCTATCTAGCCATCTTTCACCAGTTCTTCCTTCCTTTCATCCATCCATCTGCCCATCCATCCTTCAGCTGGCCTTCTATCTACCTGTCTATCCATGCATCCATCTCTCAGCTGTCCATCTATCCATCCGTCGGCCATTACTTTCATTCACCTATCTGCACATCCAGCCTTCATCTGTCATTCCATACATGCATCTGTCCTTCCTCTTTTCTCTTCCCTTTATTCATCCATTCATACTTCTTCCTTTTTTCTATCCATCCAGTGCTTTTCAAGAAGGTACCATATCCCAGGTACCATCATCTCCACATGGCCAGCCAGTTTCCTGGCCTCGGGACTGCTGGGAGGCTCAGAAATGCATACCTACTTGAGAGTTCTTCCAGGAGGGGCAATGCCTATCTTCAGGGACAGAGATATGGTCAATAAGAGGTTTGTTTATTTCTTTCCAGTCTGTGCACCCTCATCCTAGTCTAACCTCTGGCTACCCAGAGACCTTCTCAAGGTGAGTAGGGAGGGCACCAGCGTGGGCGGATGTAAGAATATACACAGTGACTTCACATATAAGACATCACTCCCTTCTGCTCACGAGATAAGGATCCCTTTGAAAAAAATTAATAGGATGAAAAATCACAGCAGCCAAGATTCCCTCCACTCTCATTAAACTAAAGAGCAGGGGGCACAGAACTTGGATGAATGAAACAGACCTTAAGTTGGTCTGACTTAAGACCAGTATCTGAAATATGATTTTCATTTGAAAGTTGGACCTAAATGTTGCCGAAAGCAACCTTAAAAAAAAATCAATAAAGAAAAGAGGGGATGAGAGTACAGCGAGAAAAATGCAGACACTTATGAGTTCAAGACCCTGTGGGACACTCCTGAATATTTTAAATATCTTGGGGAAAAAAAAAATGAAAACAGTTTCTCCCAACTTAAACCAGAGAAGGGAGTCTCTTTCTAGTCTGCAAATCCTTTGAGGCAATTCTTTCAATTATTTACTAGCTTTTTGATTATATTTTATGGTGGGGTAGGTGGCAGGGGGAGGGAGAGAGGAAAAAAGAGCTGGGCCAGAAGTAAGTGGGAGAAACCCGCTGCTGACATTTTCAATATCTGTCTGGAATATTTTAAAAGCCCGTGTCTGTTTGAAATCGCACAGTCTTGGACAACAATGGACTGCTGCCTCCCGTACATCTTTAGGTCATATTTGCATACAAAAGACCAGCTGCTGAGCAGCTATTATGCCAGGGAGCCACAGCGGGCCTGGGAGAGGCCAGGTTACCAGCAAGTGTAAAGAACCCACAGAGACCCCATTAATTTTTCAGGAATTCTCAGGCCCTGGCCTTTTAAAGGCCAGTGGGAAGAAATTCCAGTCAGAAGCCTCCCCACAGTCACTGCCACTAAACCTTGGGTCCATATTGAGAAATGAAGAGTGACAGGGCCTCTCCCCTCATGACAGGGGACTCTGGGTCCTGACGGCCGTGGTCAGTAATACCCTTTGCAGAGCGTGGTGTGCACCCAGATGGGGAGAGGCCACCTCGTGTGCACCCAAGTCTCCCTCTGAGGTCCAATTTCAGGAAATTTATTCCAGTTGTAAGCCATTAAGGTGCCAATTTTTCAAATCAACCTTATAACTCCAAAGCCATAAAGGCATTTGCCGCCTAATAGACTTTGCAAACCCTTCTACGGGGCTCAGAGCTGAGCTAACGTTCTCTAAAAGCATTGCAATAAAGCTTCACATTCTTCAGCGTTCTCAGGCCTGTAAAAAATGAATGTGCTGCTAAGTAGAGTTTGGGTTTCTGGGCTGTTCTAATCCCAGCAAGCTGGGTGGAGAGAAGGGTGGAATTCAGGAAAGAGTGGCCACTCAGGCTAAGAGCGCAGAATATCACCAGCAAAGAGACCAGTGGCCTCTGAAAAGGGAAGGCCAACACCTGCCCTCCCGTGGGCTTTGGGTAAGGCCTGAATCAAGGACGTGGAACTATAGCACAACGCCTGGCAGACAGCAGGCTCCTCTCTCCCCTTCCTCATCCTCCACTCCACTCCAAAACCCCTAAGATCAACAGAATGACACCAAGGGCAACTTATTCCATGGTGAAAAAGCGAAAACACAAAACAGCTTCTGAGAAAACCCAGGCAGGGATCTACCTCATTTTCCCTGATTAGGGAAAGGGATCCAGGAAGACCTTTGCCTTTGAAAGAGGTGTCTATGGCCAGGCACAGTGGCTCATGCCTGTAATCCTAGCACTTTGGGAGGCCAAGGTGGATGGATCACCTGAGGTCAGGAGTTCAAGACCAGCCTGCCCAATACGAAGAAACCCCATCTCTAGTAAAATTACAAAATTAGCCAGGCTTGGTGGGGCACACCTGTAATCCCAGCTACTCGGGAGGCTGAGGCAGGAGAATTGCTTGAACCTGGGAGGTGGAGGCTGAGGTCAGTTGAGATTGTACCATCGTACCAGCCTGGGCAACAAGAGTGAAAACTCCATCTCGGAAAAAAAAAAAAAAGTGTCTACAATGTGATGTGGGCTGACTCTGGTCTCAACAAAATGCCTCCTCTGTGCTTTTTTTTTTTTTTTCCTTTAGGTAGAGACAGGGTTTTGCCATATTGCCTAAGCTGTTCTCAAACTCCTGGACTCAAGCAATCCACCTGCCTTGGCTTCACAAAGTACTGGGACTATAGGCATAAGCCACTGCACCTGGCCTGTGCTTTAATTTAGGTTTTCAGAACAAGTCATCTAACTACATTAAATAGAAATATGACAGTAACAAAAAGGGTAATAATATCATAGGCTTAAACTATTCTTGATGGTTCCACCAAAACAATCTTTTTCTGGCTTTGAAAAACATTCACATGGCCCAAGGTGAGGGCATTTCCCAGGGCAGGTATGAGATGGATGCTGTCAGCAGGAAGCAAGGAAGCTGCACCACTTAACAGGGAGGCCAGCACAGGCTTTCATGACAGCGTCTCATGCCAGGTGGGCACCACTCACGGGGCTTGGTCATATCTGACCATGGAGAAGGACTGTTTTCAACTCAGAACTAAAGACTTTTTGGCAAGGTCAGACATCTTCTTGCCAAGCTAAAGCCAGAGGCTCTGCAGGCCGCCTGCTGGACCATTCTCAGAGCAAAGAGGAAGGGACAGGAACAGAGTAGCCTACCAGGAACTCTCAGTACCTCCCAAGGGGCACCAGCATGAAGGGATGCCCTGCCTCTCCCCATCCCCTTCTTCCAGCTGAAGAGGCTGGCCCACACCCACACCCTGCCACAAGACAGCAGTCTGCTTGCTTGCAGCCTTCCTCAGATAAATGGATCTAACCATGTTCTGCCCAACCTCTTCCACTTCTGCTTCTAAGACAACTCTGCTTTTCCTTTGTGTTTTTTGAAATAGGGTCTTGCTCTGTCGCTCAGGTTAGAGTGCAGTGGCACCATCATGGCTCACTGCAGCCTTGACCTCCCCGGCTCACTTGGCCTCCTGAGTAGCTGGGACTATAGGCACGTGCCACCATGGCTGACTAATTTTTGTGTTTTTTTTTCTGTAGAAATAAGGTTTTGCCATGTTGATGAGGCTGGTCCCAAACTCCTGGGCTCAAGTAACCCACCTGCCTCAGCCTCCAAAAGTGCTGGAATTATAAGCATGAGCCACCGTCCTGGCCAACTCTGTTTTTCTGATTCCAGGTCACTGCTTCCCTTCCTTCCTGCCTCAACTCCCCACCTCATCTCCCAAAATATCAACCAAGGAGACAGAACTATTGTGAGCCCAGAAAATATTTCTTGAAAACAGACAGACAGACAGACACACACACACACACAAACACACACACACACACACACACACACACACACACACACGTTTGTTAAACTGAACCAAACTAAATGTGAAAGTAGACAAGATAGACACACTTTAGGGGTGACAAATTGCAGGTAAACTCTTCAGTCTGAAGTGTTCCATGTTCCAGTCTAAGGATCCAAAAAGCTCAAATGACAAAGAAGAGGGCCATGCTGATTGGCTAACACAGAGGATGAACACTCAGAACTGGTATCGGAGAACAGGTCAAGCTAAACTAGTTGTAAGGGGGAGCACTCTAGGCTGGGCATAGGCTGGGCACAGCAGGTGTGCTGTGCAGGGCCAGGGGCTGGAGCAGTGGGTTCAGGTTGCTGAACCAGTGAAGCTGAGATTGTGGTTGGACTGGACGGTGAAGGGTCTGGAAGGCCAGGTAAGAGAATACCCTGGCGACTCTGATCAAGGCACCCCCACGTGAAGGCAGTGCTCATGGGGAGGAAGAAGAAGCCCCGGACTATAGGGGAGGAGACCCAGCCAGCTGGGAGGACGGGGCAAAGCCTTAGAGGGTGGGTGACCAGGGTCTGGACAGAGTCTGGACGGAGGCAGCCACAGTGGGGTCAGGGGGAGGGAGGCTGTAGAGACAGAAACTGGTGACTTCCTTGATAGGGGGTGGCTTTCTCAAAACTCTGAGACATCTCTAGGTTTTACTCATGCTGGAAATCCCCCAAGATTGAATTTTTTTCAAGTCATTTCAAAACTGTTGGTCCTAGTCAGACAAAGGTCCTACTCACCCTGCCCGCCACCCTACTCCTACATACACAATGCTGGAGGGTCCAGCCCCACCCCTTCCCTCCCAATGCAGGCCTGACACTCCAGACAGAAAACAAGCCACCCTTGTCGAGCTGAGCAGGCCAGGGTCCTAGCAGAAGGGAGAGAGCAGAGGGACCCAGGTATCCATCTATATTCCTCCCAGAGCCCAGGCCTGGGGTCCTCCAAGCTCTAAGCAGGAAAACGGGTGCTCATTGCCATGAAAACTGCAGCTCCTTAATCCTAAGACCTGTGGTGGGAGGGACCCCATGGTCTCCAGTGACATCCAAGCAGGAGTCACCCAGCTACTCACCATCCTCCACTATGGACACAGGTGCCCAAGGAAGAAGGCAACACCAGGAGAATGTCTGAGTGCTTGTGTGTATGACAGCCAGTGTAACAGGAAGGTGCCGTCACAGCAGCCCTTGCAATTCATAAGGAAGGAAGGAACTCTGGCTACCCAGAGGCCTCTGCCACATTACAGACTTAATGGGCCATAATGCTTTGGGGGCCAACATTCCCCTCCTGATGAATTTCAACTCCGCTGGCTCTGCACTTCGCCTAAATGGATTGCCTTTGAGGAGGAAATGCTTTAAGTGATCAGGCTCATTCAGGAGAACGTCCTGCTCTGTGCTGGAGTATTTTTTGATCAATAGAAGGGAATTCTCCAAGTATGCAGACTCACATAGATACAAAGATACCCTTTTTCTTGTCCACACTCACATACCCCTGCTGGGAACTGCAGTCTTCACAGAGGACTTCTTCAGTGTTCCAGAAGGAAAGTTCTGTCTGAGAAAGGCAGGGGAATCTAGAAGCTGCAGTGTGAGATGTGTGGGATCACGTGGGTGCAACACCCACCTCCGGAGAAGCAGGGAAAGGAGTCCTGGCAAGGCCTGGCACGCAGGGAGGCATCCGTCCATCTCTGGTGGATGGCTGGGACCTACACAATAAGGTGAATCATGAAGGGCCAGGCAGGGGAGGTGGTTCCAGAGAGACACAAAGCAAGAGAAAGTCGGAGAGAGCCGTTGTCCAATATGATTGGCATTCTTACAAAAAGGGGAAATTTAGGCACAGACATCTGTCCAGGGAGAAAGAAGGCCACGTAGACGAAGGCAGAGATGGGAGTGACACATCTACAAGCCAAGCAATGCCAAAGACCGCCAGCAAGCCAACAGAGGTGTGGGGAGAGGCCTGGGACAGGCTGTCCCTCAGAGCCCTCAGCAGGTACCAACCCTGCCCGAACCTCGGTCCTGGTCTTCTGGTCTCCCAAACTGTGGGACAAGGCATTTCTTTAGCTGAGGCACCCAGGTTGTGGTCCTCTGTTATGGCAGCCCTAGGAAACGAATACAGATAGAGAGACGGACAAGAGGAAGGAAATGGGGTAAGGGAAACGGAAGCATAAGAGAAGAGAGTGTGCAGAGAGGCCATCTCCTCAAAATCCAAGGGTTCTGGCTGGGTGTGGTGGCTCACTCCTGTCACCCCAGTACTTTGGGAGGCTGAGGCAGGTAGATCATGAGGTCGGGAGTTCCAGACCAGCCTGGCCAAGATGGTGAAACCACACTTCTAATGAAAATACAAAAATTAGCCTGGCGTGGTGGCACGTGTCTGTAATCCCAACTACTCTGGAGGCTGAGGCAGGAGAATCCCTGAACCCAGGAAGTGGAGGTTGCTGCCAGCTGAGATCGCTCCACTGCACTCCAGCCTGGGTGACAAGGCAAGAGACTGTCTCAAAAAATAAATGAATAAATAACATCCAAGGGTAGGGGCTCTGCCCTGCTGTTCCTGGCAGCAGGCCAGGCCCCAGAAGGAGAAAATTCCTGCTTCCCTGCACATTCCCTCTGTTTTCCTTCCTTCCAAGCTCCTCTGCTGAGGCTACCTCTTAGGAGGATTCATTTTTAATAAATCAGCACTCTGTTTTTCTGTACTTAGTAAAATTTAAGACAATGAGTCATTGAACCTGAAGGCTTGGGTTGACTAATTACCACTGAACAGCTGCCTGGGATGGCTGTGTGGTCCTCGGGGAGGAGGCAGAATGCTGTCTGTGTGTGGAGCCCAGAGAAGACTGGGTGATAAGACTGCACCCCTGTGATCTGTGCAGTCCACTCCACGGCCAGGTCAGGGGAGGGAGCGGGCTGCACGCCCCGTGGGCACATGCTCGGGTGTTATGATGTGTGTTGACAATGCCCACACCAGAGGAAGTGGGGCACTGAGACAAGAGGAGACTGTGCCCTAGCCACAGGCCAATAGGACAATCAAACCTAACTTTCCACCAAAGGACGCACAAAGACGGGTGCAGCCTCCGCAAGGAGAGATTCCAAGCCATGGGCATGCCGAGCAAGCGTGGTATGGAAGACACAGGGCTCCTGCCTCACGCCTCTCCTTGAGCGGGGACAAATGCACCACCCAGAGCCGGCCACCATCCCCAGAACACACTCAGCCATTTCAGTCAACCACGCTTTCTGCCTAGAAAGCTCCTCTCCTTTCCCAGCTCAATGGTGACCTCCCCATGAAGCCTACAGAAGCCACAGCTCCCCTGCCTATGGGTAAGTACAAGTTTCTCGGCACCACTGAGACCAGCCCCGGCCCACCTCCACACTACTGCCACGGTGCTTCGCCTCCCCTTCTTCCCTCTGGCATTGCAAACTGCCGCAGTTCTTCCTACACGTGGGCTGGGTGCCTCATGTCCCATTAGCACTCTCCCCAGAGGAACCCATCCAGCTATTCATGATTCCTCTGCCTTCTACATGCTTACGTCTTCATGCACAACAAATCTTTTCCTTTTTCTTTTCTTCTCTTTCTCTCTGTTTCCTTTCCTGTGTCTTTTCTTCTCTTCTCTCTCTCTCCTTTCCTTTCCTTTTTTTTTTTCTTTTCCTCTTTCCCTCCCTACCTTCCACCCTTCTTTCCTTCCCGACACAGGGTCTGGCTCTGTCACCAGGCTGGAGAGCAGTGGTGCAACCATAGCTCACTGCAGCCTCATCCTCCCAGGCTCAAGTGATCTTCCTGCCTCAGCTTCCCAAGTAGTTGGGACCACAGGCATGTGTCACCACGCCTGACTAATTTTTTAATTTTTTTTTTTTCCTGGAGACAGAGTCTTGCTCTGTTGCCCAGGCTGGAGTGCAGAGGCACGATCTTGGCTCACCACAACCTCCGCCTCCCAGGTTCAAGTGATTCTCTTGCCTCAGCCTCCCAAGTAGCTGGGATTACAGGCACCTGCCATCCTATCTGGCTAATTTTTTCTATCTTTAGTAGAGACAGGGTTTCACCATGTTGGCCAGGCTGGTTTTGAACTCCTGACCTCAGGTGATCTGCCTGCCTCAGCCTTCCAAAGTGCTGGGATTACAGGCGTGAACCACTGTAAATGGTTGAGTTTTTAGTTTTTTGTAGAGATGAAGTCCTGCTATGTTACCCAGGCTTGTCTGGAATTCCTGGGCTCAAACAATTCCCCTGCCCCCATCTCCCGAAGTGCTAGGATTACTGGCGTGAGCCACTGCACCCAGCCAAGCCATACTTTCATTATGCATTCTGAGTGACTCTACCTTACCATGAGACCATGAGTAAAGGCTATGCCTCCCCTCTCCAGGACCTACCAGCGGTCAGACCCAGCGGGTGCCTGAATAAACAAACACACAGCAGTGGTGATAAAAGCTGCTCTAATCAAACATCAGGGTTCCCATCTAACAAGTCTTCCTTTTCCTGGGAACCTCAGGACATTTATGGACCCAGAGCCAGAGGTCAAAGGTTCAGGGCCTGTTTCTGATGTCAGAGGAGCAGAAGCCACAGCAGATGATTCAGGCCACGTGATGCCTTTTTCTAGAAAGTCTGACTGAGGACGATGGCCCCATGCGGCACCCCACATTCTGCCTCACCTTCTGTCATCCCATTCCTTTCTTACCCCTGGCCCCTAAATAAAGCAGGGAGCACTCCAGAAGAAAGCTGACAGTGACCCAAGTTTAACATGAAGGCAGTTATTACCATGTCATGACGATGTGTGTGAGTCCCAAAATGCCACAAATGGTTTACCTTTTGTGCCACATAAACACCCTAAACTCAAGTTTTACTCAACACTTATTAAATGGGGAGAAAACCATTAAAGAGCATCGGCCCGCCTCTGTGAAGCTCTCATCCATCCAGCTCTTACAGAGGTAGGCATTCTTCCGAGCGGCGCAGCAAAATGACCACTGCTGAGGCTGAGCTGAAGTTATTTGGTGGCAATTAAAAGGAGCTGCCATAGTTACCCAAAGCAAACAAGCCAACAGCTCTCTCCAGGTGCCGGGCAACCGCAGAGCAGGGGCAGGCAAGGGAATTCTCAAATGATCCTCCCACAGCCTGCACCGGGCACCCTCCCACACCAAACCTGGTTCAAGACACGCAATCAGCAGCAATTAAGAGGCCAATTATTTTCTGGAGTTTATATGCTAACTGATCTGAGTTATGGGCCAAGGAGCTGGGCTTCTTGCTGATAACCCAAAGGCAAGGAACACGGAGAGTATTAAAGCTGGAGAGGGCTCTCCATCCACGTAGCCAGCAGTTCCCAGTCAGAGACTTTGTGCCCCTGGAGACTTCTGACTAACACATAGCAACACTGGTTAACCTAAATCGCTGATGGCCATTGAAAGATTAAAATTATACACACACCACACACACACACACATTTATATACATACACACAAATATATATATAAACAGAATTGTGTAATTATATATACACACATATATATTTGTGTGTGTGTGTGTGTGTATGTGTGTGTGTCAGGCTAATATAGTTTAAGATATCTATTTATATATGCACTATGGTATCTGATATATAATTTTATATATGTATATGCCCAGTTGATATAAATATATCTATCTGACTTCATTTTATTGAGTAGGAATTCATCTGACTTCTTAGTTTTATTTTATTTCTGTTTTTAAAGACACAATCTCACTTTGTCTCCTAGGCTGGAGTGCAGAGGTCCAATCACAACTCACTGCATTCTTGATCTCGTGGACTCAAGTGATCTTCCCACCTCAGCCTCCTGAGTAGCTAGGACTGCAGGCACACAGTACCATGCCTAGTTAATTTTTTATTTTATGTGTAGAGACAGGGTTTTGCTATGTTGCCCAGGCTGGAATCAAACTCCTGGACACAAGTTATCCTCCCGCCTCAGCCTCCCCAGCTGCTGGGATTATAGACATGAGTCACCGTGCCTGGTCTGACTTCCCAATATTTATTAATTGGTTTCTAAGAGGAAAACATATTTTTTCAGGACTCAGGGTCTTCTAGGAGAAAAATAAGTTAAAGATTGGGTGCAGGGGCTCACGCCTGTAATCCCAGCACTTTGGGAGGCTGAAGTGGGTGGATCACCTGAGGTCAGGAGTTCGAGACTAGCCTGGCCAAAAGGGTGAAATCTCATCTATACTAAAAATACAAAATTAGCTGGGTGCAGTGGCACATGCCTGTAATCCCAGCTTCTTGGGAGGCTGAGGCAGGAGAATTGCTTGAACCCGGGAGGTGGAGGTTGCAGAGAGTCGAGATTGCACCACTGTACTGCAACCTGGGTGACAGAGCAAGTCTCCATCTCAAAAAAAAAAAAAGATTTGAAAAGCAGTGGTGGAGATATTAGAGTACACTCTAATTCCTATTGTCACAGCTGGGGAATCATGTTTCAGAAACATGATTCCTGTACTATTTGGCCAATGAACTTGTTTTAAGGAGACTAAGATAATTTAGTCTCCTTAAAACAAGTTCATTGGCCAAATAAGTTCAGGAATCATTACCTACCTTAATCAGCTCTTAGAAAATCAGACCACTTGTTAGCCGAGTAAAGGCTCTGAGAAGTCCTGCATTTAGGGAATGTTTAATTTAGGAGTTGCTACATGTATTTGGCCACAGAGCCCTTGTGTCTCCTAACACCTCTCGATGCCCTGGGGAAACATGGTTCTAGGGGGAAGTGTCCAGTTCTCTATCTAGAGTCCAATTCTGTCCAGAAAAACGGTGAATCTGGTAAAACTTTCTAAAATCTCCTCCCCCTCTGGGGGTTCGGATTTCCCAGCTGTGAAGTGATAGGAGTTACTAGAGTGTTCTCTAACACCTCCACCACTTCTTTGAAAGTTATTTTCATCCTAGAGACCCTATGTCCTGAAAGAACGTGTTTCCCTCTTGAAAACCAATTAATCTATAAACAGTCTGACCACACATTAAAACGCTAGGCCTTGGAACAGGATGCTGCCAAACTTCTCCTTCCTCTCTCCTCCCAAAAGGCAAGAACTTTCCAAATCAAGTGCCAATAAAACCACAGGGCCTGGGTGCATGGAGACCGGGTGGGAAAATACGCCTTGCTCCCAACTCAAAGAGCCTTGGCCCATGCAGATAAGTTCTCCTGCCAAGGATACTTAAATGGTTGAGAATGACCTAGAAGGCAATCATCTGCCTAAAATAAACTCCAAGATGATGTAGACCTCTACATCAACATCTGCCATGAAGATCTGTAGACCAAAGGCAGCAGGCCTGGGAATTTAGGCCCAGTTGTGCCCTGAGCAAGACCCTTGAGCAAGACTAAATCTGCACAGCCATCTCTAACACAGTAATCCCAATGCCTGCAATCCCAGCACTTTGGGAGGCTGAGGTGGGTGGATCACCTGAGGTCAGAAGTTCAAGACCAACCTGGCCAACATGGTGAAACCCTGTCTCTACTAAAAATATAAGTTAGCTGTAGTGTTTGTTTGTTTGTTTGTTTTTATTTTTGAAATGGAGTCTTGCTCTGTCACCGAGGCTAGAGTGCAATGGCATGATCTCGGTTCACTGCAACCTCTATCTCCCGGGTTTAAGCAATTCTTTGCCTCAGCCTCCTAAGTAGCTAGGATTACAGGCATCCGCCACCACACCTAGCTAATCTTTTGTATTTTTAGTAGAGATGGGGCTTCACCATCTTGGCCAGGCTGTTCTTGAACTCCTGACGTTGTGATCCACACACCTCAGCCTCCCAAAGTGCTGGGATTACAGGCATGAGATGTTGCTCCCAGCCAAAGCAGTGGTGTTCTTCACTCCCTCATAGAGATGTTATAAGGCTAGAGGAGGGACAGACATACGTGTGCCCGGGACTCATCCCTTCTTGTCTGTCTCTCCCTCTGCACCCCGAGTTCCCTGCCAAGGGCAGGAACTGCTCTTCAACATCTTTGCATCCACAGAAGTAAGTTCAGAAAGATCGTTTATTGCTGCTGTTAAATCATAGTGCTTGTTTGATGTTCTGGTTCCGCTGCCCAGAGATCCCTCACCTTGGCAGCATCCGCTTTAGGTGAGAGTCCCAAGAGGGCCATCTCTGTGGGGCATCTGTTCCATCTTCACACGCAGTGTTAAGGCCCGTCATAAAAAGCTTCCTGGTGATGTTTCTACCGCACCTCTTTCCCACTTCATCTCCAGAGCTTTGTCCAAAGAGTCTGTGCATAACACCCACCTGCAGGCACCAGCTGGGACGGGAACGTGCGTGCGCCTGTGCCTGTGTGCTGCGGAGGAGCAAAGCCAAGGTTTTCCCAAGATGACGCAGCAAATCAGCAGGAGCAGGTTCTGCTGGGCACAACATGCCGCCCTGCTTCTCTGGGCACGCAGACAGGAGGCCAAGAATTCAAAACTGCATCCCCCAGCTCCCCCGCACTGTTCCCCTGCTGCCCTCGTTCCCCTGCTGTCTTGGTCCCTGCTCCCCACATCACTCAAGAACATCTCTGTTTGTTTTGGACTAACTATACACAAAAACTTCACCACTCGGGGGGCATGAGGAGAGAGAATTGAGCTTGTTTAAAGACGATCTCTTTCTAACGGCTATAATCTTTAATTCATAACGGTCCTAGGAACCAGCGGTGGACAAGGGCTGAGAGCAGCCCCCAGTTTTTCAGGGTTTTAAAACACAAGCGGCTGCACAGGAAGTCGGTTTTCACAAAGGCAAGAGAGAAAAACATACTAATTCACAAGCAGTGACTTCAAGCCCCCCATTTCAAGTCTTGTGACGGCTTCCAAGTGGCCCGACTGTGACCACAGCTCCCTGTGTGTGAGTGCGGGGACAGGGGCTTCCCTGCATGATTCAGAGGCTGACCACAAAACCATCTTTTGTGCAAAGTTACCACAGAAAGAGACCATTTCATATACAAGCTGCGATAGACAGCTGGCTATACTCTAAAAGAAAGAGATGCTCTAACACAAGCCCCAGAGCCACATGAAGAGGCGTGAGCATCTACCATGCACCTGAATGTGAGCGAGGCACTCTGTAAGAGCTTCCTAAGGTGGGTGGGAAAATCAGGCTCTCAGAGGTCACTGAACAGCCTCAAGGTCATGGCAGGAATGGGGTTCCAGGCAGGCCTTCCACTCCTACGGCAGGAGCAGCAGCAGAGAGGGCCAGTATGGAGAGAGGCATCAAAGTCCCGGAAGGAGCGAGGCGAGCAGCAGCCCCCTTCCCCAGCCAGAGGGCTGCGCTGTTACCTCCGCTGGCTTTAACCTGGTGAAGAGCTCAAGCGCCACATGGGCTACCTGCCTGGGAAGAACTCTAGTCCATGGCAAAAGTTCAAAGCCACAGACCCAGGTCCAAGGAGATCTCGAAAACATATGCCTTCAGCAGCTACAGGGAAGATGAGGCAGGCTGGAACCTCTCTGACTACCCTTGAGAGCGGCAAATGGAAGCACATGGGCACTGGACACCAGCACCCTCGTGGTGACATGGGACGGTGGGCTTCTCACAATCCACAGTTCCTGGTGCCTTTGGGGGCTGCCAAAGGCACACATCAATCATCACTCCGCCCTGAGCTCTGCCATTTCAATAACATACTGAGCCAGTGTACTCAAGATCTGCGCAGAGCTCCTGGGGCAAGCCAGTCCTCTTTACTCAGCCCCTGTGTGGCTGTTTACCTCACTTAGCCTTCTGCCCTGTGAATGAGGGCTCCCCACCAGGTGTCAACCTTGACGGCCAACAAGTGGGTGACAGAACACAGGGTCCGTAGCCCTTTCTTCCCAGAGAGGTACTCATCCAACCAGTGGTTTTTGATGAGAAAGATAAAGGCATGAGCTCAGGGGTCAGGCAGTTTGGATCCTGGCTCTGTCAATTCCCAGCTTTGTGATCTCAAACAAGTTACTACGGTGTAATTCCTCACCTGCAGAGTGGGAATGATAACAGAATGCAGCCCGAAGAGGGTGGTAAGAATTAACCCATTTATATCAGAGGTTGCAAACTTTTTGTGTGTGAAAACTCAAACCTTGGCGATGACCTTGAGCAGTAGGATATAAACAACTCCCAAAAGCTTAGTGTTCCAATAGTGGAACACTAGGCATAAGTGGGCTAAATGAGGTAATACAAAAGCATGCCCGGCACAGGCAAATGCTTGTGTCTGCTGGTGCAGTTGTTCTGATATTGGCATTCAACTTTTTGCTTTGTCCCTCTACTAGGCCAAAATGAGACACAAAACCAAGTGTCCCGGGACACGGTTGACTTCTCACCACATAGGAAGTTTTAGGGACATGGATCAACCATGAATCATCAGGTTATGAGGCCTGTGGTGCTCATCACCTGGGCAGCAAGCCTCAGTCACTGTCACAAGATGCCCTGAAAACCAAGACAGCAGCATGGCAGGTAAGTGACCACAGCGTAAGCAAGAAGCCCCTCAGGCCAGGAGTGGTGGCTCACACCTGTAATCCCAGCACCTTGGGAGGCCGAGGCAGGCAGACTGCTTGAGATCAGAAGTCTGAGACCAGCCTGACCAACCCGATGAAACCCCATCTCCACTAAAAAATACAAAAATTAGCCAGGTGTGGTGGCGCACGCCCATAATCCCGCTACTCAGGAGGCTGAGGCAGAATCACTTGAACCAGGAGGCGAAGGTTGCAGTGAGCTGATATTGTGCCACTATACTCATCTGGGCAACAAAGCAAGACCCCATCTTAAAAAAAAAATACCCTCAACCAGCACTGGCCTGGCAGTTCTGTTCCGTATCCACCTTGCAGAATCCTCCCCCAGTCTGAGGTTAGAACCTGCATCCAAATCCCAGTTCCCCACCTCTCAGCTGTGACACAGAAGGCAGGACCTGAACCTTACCAGGTCCTCACCTGTAAGACAGGGATGATGGCAGAAGCACCCTCATGGGCTGGTAAGAGGAACACAGAAGATGAAGCACAAAACACACTTTGCTCAGCTCCCGGCATGTTCTAGGCATTAAAGTACTTATTAATATAACTGCAAAAATGAGAGAATTCAGGCCTTGTCTCTTCAAATTTGAACCATCTTAGAGAGCAATCTTTTCAAGTACAAGGTCTGCTGTCCCACTTTTGTTTATAAGTCCAGAAAACACAGTCCATATTTAATGATCCTAATCTACAGAGTAGAAGCAAGCAGATGGATTGTTAAGACTGCTGCAGACCGGGGGCGGTGGCTCATGCCTATAATCCCAGCACTTCAGGAGGCCGAGGTGGGAACATCACAAGGTCAGGAATTCAAGACCAGCCTGGCCAACATAGTGAAACTCCATCTCTACTAAAAATACCAAAATTAGCCGGGCATAGTGGTGTGTGTCTGCAGTCCCAGCTACTCAGGAGGCTGAGGCAGGACAATCGCTTGAACTCGGAAGGCAGAGGTTGCAGTGAGCCGGGATTGCGCCACTGCAACAATTCAGCTGCCCCTCATGAGTCCAGGCCCTGTTAAGGGGTCTCTGGCCTGGCATGGGGCATACCAATCAGCAGGCAAAAGGCTGGCTTCTAGTCCTGGCTCTGCCACTGGCACACTTGCGGGCCAGGTGGCTTAGGGAAGTTGCTTCCCCTCTGTGAGGATGGACAGGGGTTCCTGTGGTCACTTCTGGCTAGACAAGGCTACCTGCTGTCCTGGTGGAAAAGAGAAGAGAGCTGCAAGATGCTTTGCCCAGACAGCCACAGCAAAGAAGGCCAGAACCTGCCTTCCAGACACCAGCTGGTGAACCTCTACTTCCCATCTAGGGAAGCTGGCCAAACCATGTCTTCTCAATAGAGCCTGAGGAATGACAGCGTGGTCACAGGTGCCACCTTGGGAAAATTGGATTTGAGGACATGGGAGAGGTACTCCTCACTAAAGAAGCAGAAGAGGACAAATCCCATGAGAATGGTCAGCAAAGCTTGGCGGTAAGGGCACAACTTCCTCAAGCCCTGATGTTCTTCTTCCCCAAGCCTTCACTTTTGGAACCCGCTAGCCAGCTGATGAGGGTGACAGATTGTACCCTTTCCCTTCCCTGTTTCTGAGAGGACCAAACTGCCTCTACTGGGCAGCAGTTGCAAAGAGTTTTAAAGACTAGAGCGTCACAAGGATGCGAGGAAGAAGGCTGGTCAGGGCAGGCAGCTGTGCCGGTCTCGCTGCTCTTCCTGAATCACAGTGTGGCTTTCTCAAAATTTGCAGCTCCAATTTCCCACCTGAAATCTCAGACAGCAGCAAAGCACCAGAGCAATTTTCTCAGCTGGCCTCAGAGCAGAAGTAGAAGCAGGTGAGAATGAGATTAGGGACCCACTTTCTGTGAAGATCCAGCAACAGCTACGAGGCCTCTGCTCTCAGAAAAAGGATGGAGAGTCTCACTGTCCAGAGATGCCATGCCCTGACTGGCACCTAAAGCTGCACAAACGTCGCAGCACAGCTGGGAGCCCAAGATGGGCTGATTCGGCACACTGCTTCCGAAACAACAACCAGTCCTCTGAAGGTGCCTTCCTCTAACACCTGCTGATTATTTAGCGGAGGATCTGTAGTGTGCATTTCAGGACAAAGGAGGGGGTGGCTTCTCTGAGAAATCCTCCTTAAACGTGCACCCATACACAGGTACACACCCACATTCTCACACATTCACATGCTCAAAACCCTGCAGTGGGCACAGATGTCTCACAGAGCATTCACTCTACATTCCTAGTTCAGAAGCGGGTTGGGGCCCAGCTAAAGGCACAGGAAGCTCCAGTCGGCCACAGTATCTGGTACTCAATCAAGCCCCGACCCTTTGCTCCTCTGGAAACTTACCTGTACCCTCCAACTATCCATCTTCTCAATCTTAACCCAGATTATGAGCAATCAAGGAAGCTTCACAAAGGCCAAGGAGAACTAAGAGAAGGCAGGAACACCACCACCACCCGCTGGACTATTCAACCCCACGTTTAAAAACATTGCACTTGCCCATCCAATCTCCCCTCTTCCTCCAGCTAAGTCTCGGGAAAAGACAGAGGAAAAGGCAAAAGTTTTGGGAGGGGGGAACAGCCTGAGAAATCAATACTATGTTATTTTCCCTGAGTATACAGAAGAGTATATAAACGCACAGAAAAAGCTCTGTTATAAATACGAAAGTAAGACCAAGGGTGGTGGCAGGGGCAGGGGAGTGTACAAAGGGACTGTTGCCTTTCTCCTTTTATTTTTTTTGAGACAGAGTTTTGCTCGTTAACCAGGCTGGAGTGCAATGGTGCGATCTCGGCTCACCGCAACCTCCACCTCCTGGGTTCAAGCAATTCTCCTGCCTCAGCCTCCCGAATACCTGGGACTACAGGCGTGTGCCACCATGCCCAGCTAATTTTTGTATTTTTAGTAGAGACGGGGTTTCACCATGTTGACCAGGATGGTCTTGATCTCTTGACCTCATGATCCACCCACCTCGGCCTCCCAAAGTGCTGGGATTATAGGTGTGAGTACTGTGCCTGGTTCTCTTTTTTTTTTTTTGAGATGCAGTCTTGCTCTGTTGCTCAGGCTGAAGTGCAGTGGTGCAATCTTGGCTCACTGCAGCCTCCACCTCCCGTGTTCAAGCGAATTCTCCTGCCTCAGCCTCCTGAGTAACTGGGATAACAGGTGTGCGCCACGATGCCCAGCTAATTTTTGTATTTTTATGGGGTTTCACCACATTGGCCAGGCTGGTCTCAAACTCCTGGCCTCAAGAGATCTGCACACTGTGGCCTCCCAAAGTGCTGGGCAGGTATGAGCCACCATGTCCAGCTGACTTTTGCCTTTTCTATACGTTTAAATTTTTTTCTAAGGAAAGTAATGTCTTAAATTACTCTATGTAATTTAACAAAGACTTTTTTTTTTTTCTTTAAGCTGGGGAATACTATTTCCAGTTGCTACTCCAGCCCCAGAAGGAAATAAATCTTTTTCTTCCCTCTCATTTTTCATTTTGAAGAAAGAAAAGAAAACCCTGTTCCCTCCAATGTAGAATTTGCTGGAGGTCAAACTCTAGTGCCTGTAAACTTTGATAATGTCTCTATAATTTGCTATTTTTTACAGGTGCCAGAGCTTTTTTTTTTTTGAGACAGAGTCTCATTCTGTCACCCGGGCTAGAGTACTATGGCATGATCTCAGCTCACCACAACCTCCAACTCTCTGGTTCAAGCAATTGTCCTGCCTCAGCTTCCCCAATAGCTAGGATTACAGGCACCTGCTGCCATGTTCAGCTAATTTTTGTATTTTTAGTAGAGACGGGGTTTCACCACATTGGCCAGAATGGTCTTGATCTCCTGATTACAGGGGTGAGCCACCTCACCCAGCCGGTGCCACAGCTTTTAATAGCAAAAAGCAAGTAATTTTTCACTGCTCATTTGCAGCATAAAAAGGGGGAAAAAAAATCTGTCGTGTCTGACGTGTCTATGCTAAAACACTTCATTTTCCTTTCTAGTCAGTAAGTGATCTAAAAATTACTTCTTGAAAGTAGATGCATATGTTTATAATGGACACATAACCTGTGCATCTATGACCAAGCCCCAGGGAAAAACAATAAAATAAAAATAAACACCCCGAGAGTGACCAGTACCATCCGCTAACAGAGCCTGACTGCACTCAATATATCTACGTTTGAGAAACCACTGGTCCACAAGGTCAAAGATTTCTTGGGTCACCAACAAATAAAAACAAACAAATTCTAGCAATCCCAGTCCTCCACATATGTGAAGAAAATTCCAGAGTGTGGAAGATCTGTCACTTTGAAGCTATGAACCATGACGGGGTGGAGAAGGAGTGGGGTAGAGATGAGACCAGGAGGAAGCTGAGCAGCTCCGTCCTTCTAAAGAGGGGCCTCACCCAGCTGAGTAAGTACTTCCTAGCACTCATGTGGGACACAGTAGTGGCAGTCCTGTAAAACAATGGCGGTGGAGGGAGGACAGTAAGTGGGTAGGCACTGGCACGTCATGAAAAGCGCACTGGCCTTGGAGTTAGATATGTGGGTGTCAACCCCAGCCTGGCTTTCAGCCAACAACACAGTAATGATGCCCTTCTTGAAAGTAGGCATATGTTTCAAGCAATTCTCCTGCCTTAAACATGAAGAACATTAAACCTTTGGGCATTTACTACACACCTGCCAGGCATCACGCTAGGTAGGCACTCTGCATGCATGATCTTGTGTAATCCTTGCCCCCATCCTCCACTCATTCCTAACGATTATCCCCATTTTGCAGATGAGGAAGCTGAAGCTCGGGCTAGTTACATGGAGAGGCCACGGTCCAAGCTAGTAAGCGGCTGGTACCATCATGACAGTACCACCTTAACCTCTCTAGGCTTCCCTTCCTGCCCCTCACCTGGTTTTGAGGCTCCCAGAGCCAACACACAAACCACAGAAGTCCAATAACCAAGTGTTACCCACCGTGCTCCTGGAGGGGCAGCCCAGGAACCAGCATACCTGGGTCCCAAGGAAGGTAGAGCAGGACGGCCAGACCCGAGAGTCCTCCCCTGACATTCACATATCTTCCTACCTTCACCAAACAGGGATCCAGCATGGAACGTCTGTTATTAACAGCCTGGACAGCAGAAATCCACACTTCCCACTGCTGTGTGGCTCTGATGGGGGTGAGGGCGAGGGGAAGAGAAACCTGTTCCATACACCCATGGGCAGGCTCCCTGCCAAAACCCGCCACAAACCATCTTCCTGTTCATTTTGCCTCATGGATGATTTTTAAAGCGTTTTAATTGTCCTTAATAAATTACCTACATGTACATGATTGTTACAATAGTTTCATTAATTTTTCTCCAAGCATCTAAGCTGTTTATCACAGAAGTATTAATGGAAAAGAAAAACATGTCAGACAGGCACTTTCTCACACACTCCAGGCTTGGGCAAATTAACGCTTATGGGATTGCTTTCCCACACCACAAACAATTAGGGACGTCTTTATTTCATCCAAGCAAATCCTCTCTTAGCAAGGCTAGGAGGAGGATGCCCACCAGAGAGGCCTGCGACTGCCCACTGTGGAAGCACCACACAAATGCCTGCCTGTTCAGTAACTTGTAAATGTATCTCCACTGAAATCTGAACTGATCATCCTCAGCGCTCACAACTTGCTCCAAACCAAGTAGGGGAGACACGTCAGTGATATTTCAGATGAAGTACTTCTTGGTATCTGAGGCTTCCACCCAGAAGTAAACTGTCAGTGTTGGTGGGGGTGGGGGAGAGACAAGAGGAAAACAGTGATGACCAAAGGTGACATCCCAGAAGCCAGGCATGTGGTTCCACAGGGACAATGGCATAGAATGCAGGCACTGAGTCGTGTAATCCTCAGGGGATGGATCATCTGGACTTTCAGTTGTTGAAGAGGGGAAAGGGGCTGCTGGGAGAGTGGCTGTAAAACCTGAAACTCCCCCAATGCCACTCCACATGCTTACCATCCAACTCAGGGCTTGACGGCACAGCCGTGTCAGCTGGGCTGTACTCATGTAACAGGAGGACCAGGACTCAGATAAAACATGCAACATTTCCTCCACAACTGGTCCCCCCTAACCAGGGACCACCATTCCAAAGAAGGGTGACTTAAAATTTAAAACTTAAGCTGGGCACAGTGGCTTGCACCTGGAAACCTGGTTACTTGGGAGGCTGAGGCATGAGAATTTCTCAAGGCCAGGAGTTCAAGACCAGCCTAGGCAAGAGACCACAAAGCTACAAAAAATAAATAAATGACAAAACAAACACACACGAACAACTAGCTGAGCATAGTGGCATGTACCTCTAGCCCTAGCTACTTGGGAGGCTGTGGTGAGAGGATCACTTGAGTCCAGGAGTTGAGGCTGCAACAAGCTATGATCATGTCACTGCATTCCAGCCTGGGTGATACATGAGATCCTATCTCTAAATAAATAAATAAATAAATAAATAAATGATCATTTAAAAAGTTTTCTGAACTTGTACTGTGGCAGCTGAGATGCTTCAGCTTTGCTGTTAAGGGTGACAGCTAATCTCTTTGCAGCACATGGATTTTTGGAGCCAGGTTTTACGTAGCAACCTGGCATCAAAGCATATGTGTGTGTGGCTGTCCAATAAAGCCCAAAGCTTCAAGGCCTGCCCCAACCTGACCCCAGCACATCTTCCTAAAAGGCTCATTTCTTGCCACACCGGACAATTTGGTGTTCCTCTAGCACACTGTGCCTTTCGTCCATGTGGGTTCCTTCTGCTGAAAAGTTCCTCCCATTTTCAGCAGTTCTATCAAACTCCCACTCATCCTTCAGAGCCCCTGCTTTTGTGCCCCAGATGGAGCTGTTCGTTCCTCCAGCATGTGAGTGCATCTCTTTGACAGCTTAGTGGGCACTGTAAGAACATTCCCTGAGTTGAACGGATGCTTGGCCTTTTCTCCAACTGGTGTCCCTCAAGGCATTTGAGCACTTCTGCTGGAGGCTAAACAGGGAAAGGCCCTATTCCATGTGCTTGGCACCTCTAACATCGAGACCAAGTGGAAGAGAGCCCCCAGAGGAGGCCACTGGTGCAGGGACAGAACATCCCACTGTTTTGCTTGCAGTAGGTCTTTAGCTTTTAGCTTCTTTTTTTGAGAGAAAAAGCTTTGTTGCCCAGGCTGGAGTGCGGTGGCTCGATCTCAGCTCACTGCAACCTCTGCCTCCCAGGTTCCAGCGATTCTCCTGCCTCAGCCTCCTGAGTAGCTGAGACTACAGGCACACATCACCACGCCCGACTAATTTTTGTATTTTTTAGTAGGGATGGGGTTTCACTATATTGGCTAGGCTGATCTTGAACTCCTGACCTAGTGATTCCCCCCATCTCAGCCTCCCAACGTGCTGGGATTACAGGTGTGAGCCACCGTGCCTGGCAGCTTTTAGATTCTAAGGGCACTGCAAATACTTCCTTCTGACCATCCCCTGGCAGAGCCCCATGATCTGGTCCTGACACTGTGCCAACCTCATCTCCCCTCAGTTGCTAGCTCCCCCTACTTCCTTCTGTTCCCTGAAGTCACAAAGCTCATTCTTGCCTTGGCAACTGCATGGGCTGTGCAGTCTCCCTGTTCTTGGATGCTCACATGCCCTAGAGATGCCTCACTGAAGACTATGCCTAAACCAACACCCTCATGCCCCCACCCCACTTACCAGCCCCTCTGCAGCTTCACACTTGGTTCCATTTCCTCTGCTCTGATCGATATCAGCAAACAGTGTGTTCCCCTATTTGTCCTCTCATTTATAGTCTGACTCCCCATTAGATTTCAAACTTCATGAGAGCCAAGAGCTTGCCATCTTATTCACCTCCGTGTCCCCCATACCCAGAATAGTGCCTGGCAGAGACTGGGTACTCCTAAACATGTGTCTCATGAATGAATGAAACTCATTCCGGCAGAAAAAAAGGTTGGCTCTCCTAAGCCCCTAGAATAGAGTTCTATATTCTGAAAACTGGCTGGTTCTGCTGAAGGCAGCCCAGGAAGCATGTAGGAACGGGGCACACTGGAATTAGGGGAGGCACCTCCAGGCAGCACTGGTAAGTACTCGGTATGAATTCACAAAAACTAGTTGCATGTTAATATATGCGGTCTCCCCCTTAAACAGTTTATAAACACTATAATTTTCTTCACGAAAACACTGTCTAATAGAACCAAGTCCCCTAATTACAGACGTTTGTATGCATTATTATCTTTATACAATTAAACCTACTAAAGAGAATTAATGATTAAATGCACCCCCCCAACACCCTGTCACTAACCCATCCCTCCCCTAACTGCCAAAAAAACAAACAACACAACAAAAAAACCCAAAGGTGCTGAGGACACCACGTTGAGCTGTAGACAGACCAAAGTCCCGGGAAATTGAAATTCAGGCTGACACAGAACTTTGTCACTACAGGAGGTAAAGTCAACTTTCAACTTCAAACCCTAGCATCTGACAGCTCAGCATCTGACTTCAATGTCACATAAAAGGCTTGTGTGTATTGTACAAAATGTCTCATTTCAGGAGCAAACACCTTCCCTCGTACAATTCATCTCCAGACACAAACACGCAGCTTGGTGACCGAAGGAGGCTTTTCTGGGATCATCTCCTAAAAATTTCACAAATGCATTCCTGGCTCAGGGGTATTTACCAGGAAGTCTGTGGCGACTTCTCTGGAGCCAGGCAGGTTTAACTGATAAGTCCCTCTCTGGGACACTGGCAGTGCATCCTGGGGAAAGCATCCATCGTGGAATTTCTGTGAAAAACATCCAGATATCAGCTACTCTTCCTACACTAATGCTCCACTTTTTAAAAATTCAGCATCGTGAGGAGAAAAGGGGAACCATGGTCTGTGAACGCCGGGATGGGTCCTCCTGTTTCAAGTGCTGAAAGGACCCTCAGCCCAAAGCCATGTTATCTAAACCCCTGAAAAGCTGGTGGCTGCAAAGGAGAGCAGACAGAAAGGCTTAATTACAGCTGCAGAGCGGACCCACCCCTGCAAGGCTTTCCTATCCCTGTGGATGTGCCTTGAAAGGTCCCTCCTCCTACCTGGGCCACCAGGCCTTGTGCAACCAGAATGGTCACTTCTGCCCCTCCAGGGACAACGTTCCCTGGCAACAAAACAGCATGGCCTAGTGGAAAGATCTGGGCCATCTCATGGGCCCACAGGAATGACTCTGGGCAAGGTGCACTTCTCCGAGCTGTGTTCTTGCCTATAAACTAGAGGAACCTGCCTCCTAAGCCTGCTGCTGGTACATTGTAGATGCTCTGTGAGCAGTGGCTGTGATCATCAGACAAAGGATGCCTAGCCACGTGCAGGAATTCTGCTGGGTCACTCAGGCCTTGGTATTCTCAGCCCCCAAAGGCTTCTCGAGTCCTCTCTAAAACGGGGTTTGGGGTGAGGGGAATGGGGCAGAAGTCAGCAAGCACTTAGGCTCTCCTGTTTGTTTTCTTGTCTTCTGCCCTGGCTCTGACCCCGTCCACCCCTGACCAGAGATGACTGGATGTCAGCTGCAATTCCTGAGAATCTGTTAGGGCATCTGGGACACACACACCACTTGACTGATGGAAGAGGGAGGCATCAGCCCAGTTTTTGGCAAGGAAGAATGCAAACTGGCACCTGCCCTGAGGTAAAGAGAGATGAAAAGCTTTGCCCCAGAACACAGCTAGTGAGCGACAGAATACAGACTGACCCTCCCACAAGCCTGCCTCACATGGGCAGAGAAGCCACATTCAGAGGGCAGGGAGGAGACGGGGTGCTATGCGCCCCTCACTTGCTCTTAGACCTGAGAGACCCTCCCAGGCACCCAGTGCTCCCCTCTGCAGAATGGACTTGGCTCTTCCAACTGTGTTCTCTGGATCCGTGAGTCACCAAGGTCTAGGGCTTTCCCACTCAAGCAGCCTCTCTGCCTTTTCCAGGCCTTTCTTCAGTGGTTGGGGTATAGACTGGGCGGCCGGGAAGAGGCAGTTCCTGCTGGTGCCACGTGTGCCCGGCACAGCTGCCAGGAAGTCCTATTAGTCAGCACCAACAGCTGCTGCCACAAACACGCGGCGCCAACGGAGAAGACGCACCCAAGACTCTGCTGAACTTTGGGGGTGGTGGAGAGCGAGGAGAGTCAAGGAAAAGCAGCAGTCCAGACCTTCCAGAGAGCTCCACATGGGCCCTCCCCTTACCCAAGGCTGAAGCCACAAAGTCACCTGAAGCCAAAAGGCCCCACTCAGCCCCAGCCATCGGCTTGGCTGGATTTTGTTGTCCTAAGTGGGTCCTCAGCTGCAGACAGCCACAGACCTCCGCCAGGTAGACAGAGAGGCCACAAAAGGTAGATGTCCCGAGAGCCCCAGAGCCCCCACCATCAGGTTCCCTGTTCCCCCAGACCAGGGAAGGTGCTGGCAGGTAGGAAGTGACCCCTAACCCCTTCGAGGTGGGTTTGTAAGCACAGGGTCTCCCCCATGACTGCCTTTCTTCACCCCTTCAAACTTTAATGAGGGTGATTTTTGTAAGCATTCTCAGGCTCTCCTGTTTCAAGGAGCATTAAATTTCCAGCACTGTCTGCCAGAGATATCCCAGGCCTCCAGTGAGCCAGCAGGAGAGGCCATTCTACGCACCTGTCAGGAAGCAAGCAAGGGGAAGATGGCCCCAGGCCAGCGCTGCCTTCCCCACTCCCATCCCTCCGTTCTCTGGGCCTTCCAGGGTCTTGTCAGCATCCCCTCTCGATTTTCATCCAGTCTCAACTTGGGCAACAGAACCTGGGGTGGTGGGTTGTTTCCCATAAGAAGAAACACACAGAGGAGAGGCCAGTGGAGAACAAAACATGCGTTTCTTCTGGGAGAAGGGGAGGGGAGACAGCTAACTGCTGGTCAGGCTGTACAAAACCCTATAGGATCCAACAAACCTCGTGCTGTTTAAGAAAAATAAATGCCCAAACAAAAATCTCTCCAAGTTCTGAAACTTACAGCAACTCCTCTTTATGAAAGTGAGGTTGTTTATGCTTGAAAACCAAGAAAACACATGTCTCTAGCAGGTTTATAAAAATCAGCTGTGTTGATGTACAGGACCATGAGCCGACACAGAGGCCAGGTTTTTTTGTTTGTTTTCAGACAGAGTCTCGTTCTTGTCGTCCAGGCTGGAGTGCAGTGGTGCAATCGCTGCTCACTGCAACCTCTGCCTCCCAGGTTCAAGCGATTCTCCTGCCTCAGCCTCCCAAGTAGCTGGGATTACAGGTGCCTGCCACCATGCCTGGCTAATTTTTGTATTTTTAGTAGAGATAGGGTTTCACCATTTTGGTCAGGCTGGTCTCAAACTCCTGACCTCATGCTCTGCCCATCTGGGCCTCCCGAAGTGCTGGGATTATAGGCATGAGCCACTGCACCCAGCAATGGAAGCCAGTTTAAATGTAGAGCCAGCAAGGGAGGGCTCGGGGTGAAGGAAGGAACACCTTCTTGGGATCCCTTCACTCTTCTGTCCTCCCCATGAAGTTACGATTACCAAATAAATAGTGAAACAAGAATGAAAGAAACCCCTGCAGGTATGTCATCATGCCTAAAACAGACAACTATAAAAACAGTGACTCCTATTGCTACACACCTACTGTGTGCCAGGCGACATGCTTAAGTACTTTCCATATGGCAATTAATCTACCTAAAGACCCTTAGGAGGCTGAAATTACATGCGTTAAGTTTAAATAATGACAAAAAGGAAGAAAGAAGGAGCAGAATCAGGCTGGGAGAAAAGGAAAAGGAAGCGACCCTGATTAGAGATGCCCTCTGCGCTGGAGCTGGCAGAGGGACTTTGTCTTACAGGGTCCTCTTTTCCTAAAACAAAGTCTCCAAGAAGTTCAGAGATTTACAACATGATTGAGTCCTGAAGCTGGGATTCAAACCCAGTTCCTACTGACTGCAGAGGTCTCTCTATACGCCGATGGTACTTCCACACTTCTCGAAAAAGAATCTACCTCCCTGCAGTGAACACCAGCCAGCCCAGCTGGTGGCAGGATGGTGAGGTGACAGAGCAGGCAGTGTGTAGGGCGTGGGGACACCTCCCAAGGGATTTGGGAGACGCAAGCAGGGGCTCGGCCAGAGTTCATATAAGCTACTCAAGAGCCTCAGGATAGCAATTTAGCACCAAATGCATTAAAAAGAGTCAGCCCTGGGCCTTGGAGTGAGTGGAACCCCTCCCTCTCCTTGCTCAGCCATCTTGTCCTCATGAGTCACCAGGCCCAGGCAAGGGTGTGGGTGGTACTGCAAACCCGTCCCCGTCAATGGAAACAGAATACAAAGACTTCATCCTCACATTAGTGGGTTACCAGCGTCATTGCCTCCTACAAAGCGCTGCCTGAAAACATCCATCTCCAGCACGACCAGGTCCCTGCAGCCCCGGGAGAGTGGCAGGGGGCAGTGTTGCCAGGAGCAAGCTGGCCAGAGCCACAGCTCCCACCCAGGATGGCCCCTGACCCGAGGCCTCCTCTGAGCCCCAGGGAATCCCTCTGGGCTTCTTTCCTCAGCAGGAAAAAGAGATCGTCCAGGTCTATTCCCTCAAACATTTCTGCAGCTTGAAATACCAGAAACACCAATACTCCAGGCATAAATAAGGGTAGCTACAGCGTCCTGGACCAGGGGACCAGGGCAAAGTCTGCTTCCCCACCTCCTCAGTCCTCACCCTGGATGCCAGGAAATCACGTCCACACCCATGCACAGGGGCACATAAATGAACAAACCCACGCTCAGACCCAGTACACAGAGTGTGTGAGTCTGTGGCAGCCTGCCAAATTATAAATAGCCCAGCTCGTTTTTAAGATGACCAGCGATTCAGCAAAGTCCTCTGGCCTTCAGCAGTGTGTGAGCCTCCTCTTAACCTCTTTTAGCTAGATGCTCGACAAGGAATCCAGCCTGACCCAGCCATGCTAGCTGACTGTAAGAGTGCACGCACACACACACAAGGATAACACACACACACACACAGGCTAATTTTTGTATTTTTAGTAGAGATAGGGTTTCACCATTTTGGTCAGGCTGGTCTCAAACTGCTGACCTCATGATCTGCCCAACTGGGCCTCCCAAAGTGCTGGGATTACAGGCTTGAGCCACCACACCCAGCAGTGGAAGCCAGTTTAAATGTAGAGCCAGCAAGGGAGGGCTCGGGGTGAAGGGAGGAACACCTTCTTTTGATCCCTCACCTTTCTGTTCTCTCCATGAAGCTACGATTATGAAATAAACAGTGAAACAGTAATGAAAGAAATCCCTGCAGGTATGTCATCATGCCTAAAACAGACAACTATAAAAACAGTGACTCCTATTGCTACACACCTACTGCGTGCCAGGTAAGACTGTCTGATAAACAGCATCTGACTGATGCTAAGCCCACAGATACGGGGTCCAAAGGGGTCTCCAAGTCACAAGAATGACAAAGACAAAGCTATTTCAAAGGGAACGAGAGGCACGGCTTCCTGTGCCCCAGGAAGCGCTGAGCAGCCGGACCCAGCTGGCCACCCGGCTTACTTCTCAGACCTCTATTAGAGCCCGGAGCACCCATCACTACCTCTCCAGCTCATAGTTCAGAACGAGCCCTGCCTCCCCACCTTTTCAAGAACACTTCAAACTGCCTTGCATGGCTTCTAGGTCAAAACACCACAAGTGACTGGTGGTTTGAAATAAAGACCTAACTCTGGGGAGGCCAAGCAGTGGAGATAGATCACTTACCCTGACCCTAAGCTATAATCAGAGAGACACCACTGGTATTGAATCTTAGCCAGAACAGACCCCCATCCCATCCCACCCCAAGCATCACAGGCACAAATTTAGAATGAGGTTCTCATTACCTCCAATTTCTCTTCATTGTTTCAATTTCCCCCTCTGGCCCTCAAACGCCAGCCCAAGACTTCAGGCCATTCACTAGGAATCCTGGAAATGTATTCACTTATCAGATTCTTAGGAAATAGTCCAAAGTCTGAGCCTTTGCCTATGCTGTGAGCTCCTTCTCTACTAAAAATACAAAAATTAGCTGGGTCTGTTAGCACATACCTATAATCCCAGCTACTCAGGAGGCTGAGGCAGGAGAATCACTTGAACCCAGGAGGTGGAGGTTGCAGTGAACTGAGATCACACCACTGGACTCCAGCAACAGAGTAAGACTCCAGCTCAAAAAAAAAAAAAAGACAAAGCCCATCTCCCCAGTGCCTGACACAGGACCTGCAATGCCACCCTCCATCCAATGAATGAAAGTCACCTCCAGGGAGGTCCCTGTGGGATGTTAATGAAGGCTTGGGTTGGTCCAACTCTCTCCCTGCAAATATCCCATCTCTACCATCAGCCATGGAGGTATTTTCTGCAGAGTCCTTGTCGTCCTCTAAACCAGGTGAGGCCATAGTTTGACTAGGACATACCACAACCAGGTTGACTGCAAATCCTCATCCAGACCTACGAATACCTCTCAGCCTCCAACTTGTAAAATCCCATGAATCACACAGGCTTGATCTGGGCAATCAAAAACCGCCAGAAGCAGAGGCTTCCCCTGCATCAACCAGAGGGATGGAGAACTATGCCTTAAATCATGCCTCGGGAAATGGACACCTAATGAAAGTGTCCTCTACTGCAACGAGTCCCGAGCAACTCAACTCAACAGACATACAATGAAATTCCTAGGCCAGGAGCGGTGGCTCACACCTGTAATCCTAGCACTTTGGGAGGCCCAGGGGGACAGATCACCGGAGGTCAGGAGTTCGAGACTAACCTGGCCAATATGATGAAACCCCATTTCTACTAAAAATGAAAAAAAAAAAAAAAACAAAAAAAAACAGCCAGGTATGGTGGTGGGTGCCTGTAATCCCAGCTACTTGGGAGGCTGAGGCAGAAGACTCGCTCAAACCCAGGAGACAGAGGTTGCAGTGAGCCGAAACCACGCCATTGCACTCCAGCCTAGGCAACAAGAATGAAACTCCATCTCAAAACAAAAACAAAAACAAAAATTCCTATGGGAGAGCAGCAACCCTCAGGCCCCAGGCTCCAGGCAGACTGGGATTGCCATGGTATCTGCTCTGGTCCTCCAACTAAACCCTCATCTTGACCCACTTCCATTTTTCCCCTCCTGAAATACTACATTTTTTAAAATTCCTGAGAGGGAGTGTTTTATTTTCTTAACTGAACTGTGGCTTTCACAACAGGCCTGACCTTCCTGCTCACCACCCTCCTTGTCACGGAGCAACAGAAATTAAATTGATTTTCCCTATCAGTGCTCTGCATCTCGGCGATCATGCCTGGCCTCTAAAAGTCCGCTTTCTGCTCCATCTCACCAACAGAAGCCCTGTTGCTAAATCCAACCCCACTGGCTCAGAAAGGAGGGGATGGAGGAAGAAGGGGTAACCGAAGGGCACAGGTAACAATTTATGGCCCCCTTGTCACTGTGGTCTTATCTCTGTGGCCAGCCCCTTCTGAGAAATGGTACCCGTTACTGAACTCCTCCCCCTGGGGGGAGGCTATTTCCCGGGGCCTGACTGTTTGAGACAGGTGGCCCAGCCAGGGAGAGGAAAGCTTGCTGTGGGGACTCCATCCTGCCTTTGCCAGACCCTATTCCTCTGGGCATGTTCCCACCCAGGCACCCCTGCTCGGGCTAAACCACCTGGCCCATCCCACCTCTACTGGTACATTGTCTCCCAGGAGCAGAAGCCAAGACAGCAGGGAGGTAAAGGCTGCAGCAAAGACGGGAAGGCCAAACGCGCTCAGAGGGGGCCCTCCATAGCCACCCAACCCAAATAAGGCCCCCTCCTCTCTCACAGGACACCCGGCTTCTTTTCACAGCACCTACGGCTCTTTGTAATTATGCGGGTGCACATGCACATCTTTCCGTGTGCATGTCTAATGCTGGTGTGTCGCACCAGATTAAGCTCCTTGAGGGTGAGAGCACTGTTGCCTTCCTCTCCATGGAATAAACATTTAATATTTATTTAATAAGTAAAAAAAGATGCACTTTACTACAGGCTGCTAGACACTGGATACTAACTTATTTTCGTTAGGCCTCTTTAGGAATTGTTTGGTCCACACAGAATGAAGGGAATAGAATACATGAACCTGTAGGTTCTCTTTTTGCCTTTTCTCATTCTTATTTTTGTCTTGGTAACAAGCCACCAAAAATGCATCCCTGTCCCATAAGGAAAAGGGAGCCAAGGACAAAAGTTTGGAGAAAAGTTCATTGCCGTGCACACTGGAATTCTACCTGGCAACCCATGGAAAACATCCTTTCCCTCTTCTCCCGGGCCTCTCCAGGCATGTCCCCCATAATTCAATCTCCAATCCATCCCATTGCTAACCATCATCCCCAGGAATGACAGTCCCACTGTCAAGGCCCTCTTTCAGTTGGAATTCGAGCTCTAACCTGACCTGACCCAAGTTTCATTACTGGCATCCAAGAGGTTTGGCTCATTGAGTCGTCTTTCCGATGACCTGGGAGCAAAAGCCAAGGGACCTCATTTCTTTATTTCTACTTCATTTTGTTCCAAAGGGATTGGAGGTATCTTACAAAAATAGCTACAACATGATAAAAATAGACGAAGAAATGAGTTAGGATGGGTAATAAAATAAATCCAAAAGTAAGGTGACTGCCCAAAAATATGCATCACGATTGATAAAGGCAATCCCAAAAAATGAGACACTAAAGTCTTCTTTCTGAAATTCCCTCCTCGTCGGGAAGATGGAAAATATTTCTGCTGATATTCAACAGACACCTGACCTACCATCCAAGCCTCGGCTCAACCTTGGGGATTCATCAACAATGCGCACACCAGGCTCCGGGCTGTAAGTGTCTCTGATGTCCTTGAATCCAATGTCAAATACTGCTCAGCTGGGGAGAGGTGAGTTGCTGGAGTCAACCCAGGAGAAGGGACAGGAAGGGTGGGGGAAATATTTTCTCTAAAACCCGAGTACTGTCAGTACGCATCTCTGCTTGCAAAATAACCCTGTCTGACCTTGGGCAGAACTAGATGCTCTCCTAGGTCCCTCCAATTCTAAAACTTTTATGATATTATGATTCACCGCTGTCATATTCAGGGGAGACGCTGGATCTTTACTGGAATGCCCACGGCAAGCAGCATCTTTCACTTCCACTCAACTCTCCCATTCTGCCTGTACTCACCCCCTGCCTCCTTGGTCAGCATGGGCTGCCCAGACCCAGGGGCTCCTCTGCCCCAGTCCCTTGAATCTCTCAACTTCCATTTCCTGTGCCTTCTAATACTCATCTTAGCAGACCAAGGCCCACGCTGGATCTCTCTCCCTACATCCACCCAGCCGAGCATTGGTTTTCTTTAGTCCATAACTTTTGGAGAACCCGATAGCCAGAACACAAGTACAACAGGTTTTCCCACACATCTGTGCACACACATTCCTCCTTCCCTAATCTGTTCCCACTCCCAGTCTATTCTCAATAGAAAATATTTACTGAGTGCATATTCTGTAAAGGGCTCTACGAAGCCCCTTTTATGAATTTTCCCATTTAACCCTCACTGCTCCCATGTGAGGTAGTTACTTCATTACTCTTCCATCTTATAGATCAGCATATTGAGAAACTCAGTGAGGTCAAGCCACTTGCCCAAGGCCATGCCTGGATTCAAGTCCAGGTTTATCTCATTCCAAAGCTCTGAACCACTGAACCACATAGAGATGCCCACTTCCACAATCCATTAGGAACCTTCCTGATTTTGATTGTTTCATCACGCAGTTATAGATTTTTCAGGCATGCATTCATTCCAAGAGCTAACCCTCACCTCTGGCATGGAAGCTGTGGGTTTCGTGGTCCAGCTGACCTGGGCTCTGACCCTTACTCAAGGCCCCACAACCTCTCAGAGCTTCAGTTTCCCATGTGTACAGTGGAGCTAATCCCCCAAGTCTCCTAAAGTCATATGAATGTGGGAGTTCCTAGATGGATAAATTTTTCCAGGAGGGATGGACTTACCCCTACCCCTTCACATAAAACATGAATCCATCACCAGCCCCATTGGAAGAGCGATGAATCCATCCCCAAGGACCCAGGGGCATTCCAAAGGAGACGTTCATGAGACAGCATAGCCCTGAGGCCTTCCCTGGCTGGAAAGGTCTCTTTAATGTGCAGAAACGATTTTCTAATTAAGTGGTGAGCATGCTGTATTGACTATAAGTGCACGAGAAGCTCAGGGGAGGAAGGCAGTGGATTAGAGGTGTACAACAGAAGAACTGAGCTGGGCATCAAAGCCAGATCACCTTTGGTGCTCCCAGCTCCCCACTATCCAGTCTCTACAGAACAATCTGAGTGACCTTTAAAAACACTGATCTTGTCACTCATCTGCTTAAAACCTTCCAAAGGCTTTCCAGAGCAGTTGGAACAAAATTCAAACTTCTTCCCCTTGGTTCACAGGGCTCTGCATGGCCCACCTGCCTCTTCCCCCACACATCAGGTGCCATCATGCCTGTCTTCCTTCTGGGCCTTGGACAACCAAATTCTGTCCCATCACAAGGCCTCTGCGCTGCCTGCTCCATCTGCGGGAATGACTGTCTCCCACACCTGCACACAGCTGGCCTCTTCTTTCATCCAGGACTTAGCTTCAAAATCAGCTTCTGAGAGAGCCTTGCCTTACCACCCCCATCAAAAGCAGCCCCAAGTTGCAACCCAAGGGAAGATAAATAAAAATAATAAAAAAGAAAGGAGCCCCAAGCACGCTCTCTTACATGAGCTGAAATTTTCTTCATAGCAAAGAAAACTCTCTGATGTGCTTGTTATTTGCTTGCCATCTGAGTGACTTCCCCTCAACCC